ACATGCACAAAACACTTGATTCTTCTGAAATTTTCAGGGTGAGCCGTGAAGGCAAGCAGACAGTTTGAAGTTTTAAACCCAAATTTACCCAGACTTTTTCCAGTCACCTAGAACCCCCCCATCCCCCCAAAAAAGAAGTCAGGGTGAGGTGATGTCTGAACAAACTGTGGCAGGACATATTCAGGAAAATTCACAGAAGCAATTTGGATGGGGTGGTAACAGTCACATCCTGCAAGCGTTGCATGAAGTGTTGGATCTTTTTGCACACAATAAAACTGTTTCCTACTCGTTTCTGGTTGCCAGCATGTTCTTTTCTCTCTTCTGTTTACAGTTTGAATATTCCCAATTATACGTAGCACTGATATAAAGATAAAAACTGTCATCATAGAGTCAGAATCTGTTGCTTTGTCTGCCACTTCTGCCGTGTCTTTTTTTGCATCATGTTGCACATGTCTTCACACCCCACATCCGAAAGAGAAAGATCTCCCTGGATTGACACATAGTCACCCAACATTTTCAGGGACGTTCTAAAATGTTCAAGACATTTTCAGGAGTGCAGGTGGGAAAATGGCTACACTTTAAAGATGAGCCAAGATGTCCTGCAAAGGAAACTAATATTCTCCTATCAAACTTTTCTGCACACTTTGCCAAAGGGCATGGCAAAATCAGATCTTATGACTCAGCTTCCTCCTCAGCATTACATTCCTGTCAATCATCTAGGATATGACTGACACCACACCAATCTGTCTGCCAATCTTATGCACTGTATTCACCTCACTCATGAATAAGACCCAAGATACCCTTTACTTTTGGCAAAGAATCAATTCAAACCCCAAAGTGACCAATTCAGCATCATTTCAATTTCTTGTGCATCAACGGTATGAAAAGGAACGCTTTTTTTCCTTTCCTGAAAATTAAGTTCACAGGTCGGTCTTTGCAGAAGACTGTGGTTGCGTGTTCATTTACACAGGAGATTTAAATCAACACGTGTGACTTCAGTGAGCCTTTCATCACGTACAGTCTTGTCTCTGAGTGCTGGCATGCTAACCATTTAGCCAAATATTTACCATTAAAAACTGTTATAAACTGTATGTGGATCTAAGCGAGACCTCTACCTAACTGTCCCATTAATGTTTATATACATTTACTATATATATACCGTATTAATGTTTGTGTGGGAGAGAGAGGCAGTGGGGTAGAGAGTCCTATCATATCAATGGTGTTCTGTTTAGTGTGAAGCAGAGCTAAGAGACCATTCAGTTGTCAAAATAAAGCCTGTGGAAGTGAACTGTGGGTCACTGCAGCCCTCTGAGGTGGTTTATTAGTGCAGTCCGTGCAGAGAAGGAGGCAACCTTTAATGTATTTTGCTGCATGCAGCTTAAAGGGCAACAAGGTCCTCTGAGATAGAGCTCCAATAGAGAGAAGGCTGTGGGCACTCTTAACACTATCATTTGGAGCCAGAATGGTAGACAGGTGGATTTTGAGACACTGCATTTTAGGGGTTGATGGGTACCCAATAAGAAAAGTGAACCTAAAGGTTATCATTCCAAAACTTTGAGTACTCCTTTAAGAGCAGCATCCATTCCTGGTTTACTGCTGTGAAGGTGGGCCAGGTCTAATCCACTACACCCAAACACAACTAATGAAATTCCTGAAATTTAGCTCCCACCAATAGCATCCATCTACCAAAGCAGAACGCAAAGGGAGCACTTCCTGTGAGGGTGTGACACCCTGTACAAAAGCCCCTCTATACACACAACACAACTCTAACCCCGAGCAGAAATATCACTCATTGCTTTTCTATTTGGAAGCAACAGAGCTGAGAGCACAGGCAGCACTCTCTCTCCTTCTATGACCTTTGGCCTTAAACTAAAATGAAAACAGGAGCATATCTTGTGCTTCTGTGTCTGCATCTGTGAGGGAAGTGATAATGTTGATCATTGTTTGGTATGGTAATGTGATTTAAAGAGGCTTCTGAGAGGTATTTAACAATTGCATAGAGCATCAGGTATTTTTTGAATGATGGATTTTCAGACCCTCAAATAAAGACTTCTGATACACATTTTTTTTTAAACAGCAGTTTCTTAAGTGCCTCAACACAAACATCTATTTGCACATTAACATTTCAAACTCGCTCTGTTGATTTTGGATAACAACCAGCCAGTTCCCTGCTCAAAGTATGCTAGGATACCTGGCCATGTGAACCAAGCTACAGCACTTTTTCAACAGCTTTTCTCCCTCATTCTGTCAAAATCGCATATCCTACATAATAAACAGTTATATACTGATTAGTCAATAAAACGTGAGACATGCTGGTTTGTTTGAAATGACTCCTAGTTTTGAGTCAACCAGCGAAGGAGGGCAGCGCGACTCCAGGCAAATTGGACACTTTCAGTGGGCACACACAGGAAGGAAGGTGGTGTCTGACTGACATATTCCTCATTCATTCATTTTGCTTACAAAACAATCAGCCTAACACATCAGCATTTACTGTTTTAGTTACCATGACAATTTTGCCCATTAAAAGTTGACCCTCATTTTGCTAAATTTGCCAAAGGCCTTGGCTCAGTGCCTTGCTATAGGAATATTAACCACATCAACCAAGTCTGCTTGAGTTTCCCCTCAGACAGTAAAACACAGACAATAAGAGATTACAGAAGGAACCTCAGTTTCTGAAGCTGCAGTTCCTCTAATGGCCACTAGATGCTGACCTCAAGAAAATTGTCCTTGGCTGAATAATCAGCAATGAAAAACAATGAAAAAATATGCTTATTTTTATGCCACAACATGTCAGAATCTTGGAGGGGGTTGTTTACTCACTTCAAAATTGTTTATTCTATCATATTAAACTACGATGGTTGGATTATTCATCGGACTTCAGCTTCTCCCTGCTTGGTGCATAATTATTTAGATATTGTGGCTACAGTAATTTCAAAAAGATGGCGGTGAGCAGTGAACCCACCTTAACCTTCAAGGTGCACCAGGGCCAATAATCTATCAGACATGTTGTACAGTATGTTTAGAGAAAGTATGTGTTCATCCATTAATGGGTCAATATCTTAAGATATGTATGTTTCATTCATCAAGGTAGATTTTATTCTCATGCACAACCACACAAAGAGCAGAATAGATGGAATGATGACCTTTTATTCTTCCCCATATTGCTTAGAAAACATCAAGATTTGTAGTTTTCTATGTAGGGTATACACAAGCACACGTGTGTGTGATCACCACCCACATGGATGAGCATCCACTATGATCCTTAAAATGCTGGTCAGGTGTGCAGGCCACCCAAGTCTCATTTTTCTCTGTTATCTCTCTCTCTCTCTCTCTCTCTCCCCCTCTCTCCCCTCTCTCACATCCAAACACACACAGGTTCAGGAACAGGTGTCGGCTCATAAGCACTTTGCTGAAATCACTAGAACTGGTCTGTAGTCTGCTGTAAGTCAAAGTGAGTGACAGAAGTGATTACTTAAAGATCGGTTTCACATCACGTTGACACTCTGCACCCCTCATTCCTGTTTCAGCCAGATGTGTATCATCACTATCTCTCCTCCCCTCTCTCTTTTTCTCTCCCTCATTACACGCATATTTTCCATGTCTTTTCCTGGCTCATTGAGACTTCAGCTACTCACCATGGCATTCTTCCTCTGTCGGCCAGGGGGCCACGGTTTCTTCCCTCTACTATCCTTGCATAATGCAGACTAAACACAAATAGGATTTGAGTAGGTCTCAAAAAAAGGTTATGTGCACAACAGTTTCTGTGAGACTTTCCATGAAGATATTCATATTCTGTATATCCTCTAAAGATATATTGCTCCATATGGACTACAGAATGACTGCCTTTCTCTTTCTGTTACATATTGATCTTGATGTCTTTCAGTAAGTGCTTCTGGAGTTTTGTCTGTGACCCTGAGTGACTCTGTAAATGTTGTATTTAACTCTGAGTTGTGAGCTATACCAGAACATAAGAACACAAGTGGAAATACAGAACTCAGGTAATGTACTTGACTGTTTCCATGCACCAATATGTTTGATATAAAAGTAATAACATATCACCAGTGATAACAATAACCCAGAAAAGGGGACTTTCTGCATGTATAGGACTTAAGCTTTTAATACCATCCATTCACATTCTTAGCTTTTTGTAAGACCGCTGTTGCAGTATAGGCAAAATAACCCAGTTTTCTGACTATTATCACTTTGGTATAAAAGTTGCATAAAGCCTTCTGTAAGAGGCAGTTGTAGAAAGTCAAATGCGTTAAGTGATATTATGAGTCAGCATCAGTTGGAGCTACAGATAATAAGCTTGAAAAGGTTTGTGAGTAAGAAAGAGGTCAGAGGACCATTACTCCATACAGCCCAAACCTTTTTGGGTAAGGCGACAGGAGTATCTGACCATAATCTCTGTATCCAGCTGCAGTGCTGGACATCATATTTTGACAAGAGAAAATCAAGTGACAAGTTTCCCAGGCAATATTTCAAATAGCCTATGACTGAGTTTTACAAGTTAGGAAAGTCAACTCTTTCTGGAGCAACTCCGTGCTGGAGTAAATATCAATTGCAAGGCTTTAGACTAAGCAACATAATATATGTACAAAAACCAAAACAATATATTCAATTAACTAATTTGTTGACAATGATGTTCACGTTTATTTCAGGCAACATATGATTCTACAATAAGGCAAGCTAATGCCCTTGTGTAACACTTCACTAGACTTGTAGAATAAAGATGCTGCAGATGTTGAGGCTCTCTCATGGCTCGGAATTGAAACGCCTGAGAAACCATTGTAAGGAGCTGTGGAACTAATTCCCTCACAGTCCGCTCACAGACAGCAGCACACTGCTCAATGGACCGCTGACTTCACCCAGTTAAGCTTTTAGTTAAATCGCTTGGTCTGGTCCCACCCAAGCTTTTGTCACAAGTGGGGGAAAAAAATACCTTTTCAGATCCTTTTTTTCCATCCCGCCTTCTCTCTCTCTCTCTCTCTCTCTCTCTCCCTCCTTCCTCAGCATCAAGTGCAGGCTGTGCGGAGCGTCCCGGCTGTGACTCTCTCTCTCAGCCTCTTTGAAGAAGCGATGAGGAGAAGGAGCCGTCTCCCTGCTGATACCAGGACGTCTGGGATGCACTAACCCGCGATTGTTTTCCACTGGGATCATATTTGTATATTTCTCCGGAAAACAAACAATACACAGCGGATTTGGCATATCCATCAATCGGATGCGAGCAGGTACGCCTCTGTCTTTCACAAAGTTATGATGATCTATCAATGCTTCAATGGTAGAAATATGTTCATTTATGCATGATTTTAGGTAGCGTATTAGAACCTTTTTATTTCATTTTTTTCCTTTTCTTGGGTTGTAGATTTTTTTCCTTTTGGGAGATTTTATTGAATTTTGAAGTCTTGAAGGTGCACAACATTCCTTATTTATCTCCAGGCCATATTTTGAATCATTTTACAGACGTTTGCCTACTCTTTGCAATGAATGCATCAGAAAGCTATTATTTTTAATTAAGTGACATATTTTAATTTGCTTTTCTACATAGCCTATAGTCGATTTTTTTTGTTGGGAAAAAGCGTTTTGTTTCTAATAGCTTTGGACATCTAATTTAAACCTTATTCAGTGAGCTGTTGTTTGCTTTTACTCTATGGAATTGTGGAATTTGAAAAGACACGTTTTAGACGTGTTGTTTAAATATTTCAAGCTTTATCTTTAGTCTACATTATGTGGGCGAATTTTCTTAATTTAACCTTTTTTTAATAGAACAATGGAAGCTGTGTTCCTTTTTAAGATAGTTGAAAAACGGTGAAATCAGCCTTTATTTACTTGCTGTTGAACTTTACAGCAATTGAAAGTCAATGCCATTGAGTTGGAGATTCAGTTGCTCCACAGCGCCATCCATTGGTTGCCTTTGCTCCTAGGGGCCTCTTCCTGGGACTCCCTCCTCAAAGGGGTGGCAAGGGCACAGCTTCTTGTTCAGCCGACTGCAGCGGAAAAAAAGTTCAAATGAGCACCTTCTTAGACCAAGAGCCATCATGGCAGCGTATCAGTTTCCACTCTGTACTGAGTAATTACAGGCTTTCTGCTGGATTTGTGTTATGTCTCAGTCTGGATGTGGGAGTGTGAATTTCAACAGAATATGAGGGTCATTTTTGTATTCTCATTTATTGGGCCTGTTTTATAGCTTTTGTGGGATGTACTTTATTACAGTCTGTTCGGGGATGGGTTAGATGTTGGCCACTGGGTATGTATTATTGGATACTGTGTGCTAAACGTCAGCCAAACAGTCCCAACTCACTTGGATGACAATGCACTTATAGTGGAATATGTAGTTTCTAATATGAAACGGGTCAGGCAATATCTCTTATGTGGATGATGGTCCACAGATGATGTTGTCAAGAGCTGAGTCTCATGAGAGCTTTTCCAAACCAGGCAATTTCTAATTTTCATGCTGAAGTTCCATCTAATTAAAATGGAATGTAAAAACCCTTGACAAGCAAACTGCCCCCTAAAGGTTTCTGATACCCCAAACACGAGCCTGTCTGTCAAACATAATTTGAACAACACAAAAAGCTGTAATGAAAACTGCCCCCAGGACCCTTTAAAAAAAATCTTTTGGATTTGCACTCTAACTCCAAAGCTCCTCAGTGAACAGCATCAAAAAGATTTTCACTCCTTGTATCTGGAAGTAACTTGTGGGACTGTATCACCACAGCCAAGATTACACAATGCTCTGTAGTTAAGCAATGGTCTGATGAAACTATTACATTTTTAAATATTTTTTAGATGGTTATCAGGACTATTGGAAATATCTAGCCCATGAAAGAAAGCATGAAGTAGCAGGCTGTCTGCAGCCAGCACAGTCTCTATGCTTGATGTCATTTGTATGCATGGACAAGGAATGGAGCGAAGCTTAGGAAACCAGATATGGTCATTACTGAAGGAGAAGGTTAACCATTGTGGCAAACCTCCAAGCCACTGTCTCAGCCTGTTCAGAGGATCGGGGTTCATCCTCTCCTCCTCGCTGCCCACAGCCTCCAGTAAAACTTAGAGGACATAAATCTCCTCTTAACCACACAGCTAATGCATCGACTCAAGACAAATTCTTTGTGATCTCAAGAATATTCCATAGGCTACACACTGCTACTACATTATTCAAATTATGATGCCAATAAATTTCTGCAAACTTGAGCATTTTGAGGATTTAAGCTCCTTAAGAAAGTGGAGTTTCCTCAGTGTGTTGTGATGCCACAGACTGCTGAGATTCTTTAGTTCTCCAGGCAGTGAGGCTGCCTCTTATATTCTTGGGTATACTGCCTCCCTGTGGCTGTAAAATTGTTTTTCTTGAAAATGAGACACAAGATGTAAGAATAAATATAAAACCTTCTCAGTTCAGGGATGTCAGATATGTTTTACATGTCTGATGTGCTTTTAAAAATGAGACTTTCAGATTTTAAATGAGAACATCTGTCTGCAATACCAAGTTGTATATGCTCCCTGGTATCATATGCTCAACAGTGTCTAAAAACGACTCACATATGATGTAAAACTGTAATGCCGAACATGAGGTTGCTGACCTATCAGATAGGTAGTACTAGTAGCAGGCTGAAATTAGTGTCAGAGTACAAAGCCTTGCTAGCAGCTCTGTGTAGCTATTATTTATTGCACTACTGGGCAATGTGACATTGTGCTACATGCTAATGTCACCAAGCTAGCATGCTGTTTTTGGGAAAGTATGTTTGTTACATCTGAGTTGAGCGTGTGAGGATGTAGATATGCTACAAAGCGTACAAACAAACGTAGGCTACATTTGAGAACCTTGGGAATACTCATTATCATAAAGCTAGTTTACCATTTTTCCAGGCATAAATGTGTGGGCTGATTTGTACAAATGTTTCTTATATCGTGACAGTCCTTCTAGTAGTTGTTGAAACATTTCACTCATAACCTCAAATGTCTCATGGTGGTGGTTTCAGAATTGTCAGTCTCATACCACAGTTATGGGGTCCATCAGCTGGAAACCATGAATGTCTGCTGCAATCCATCCAGTAAACACAAATCTATTTGGCTGGATTATTGAAAACCTTGAACTGCTATTGGCACCAGATGAAGCATTAGAACTTGACTTGTTATTTCCCAGCTATATCCTATTTATATATATCCAGTTATATGTAAGTTTCTTTCTAATTCTGCTGTTTTGCAAAGTTTCCCTAAGTACTATCTCTATTCTTTCAATTTCAGAGCCAGGCCCGACTTAACGATGGGCCCCATACCCCTGTGTGTCCTGCTCCCGCTGACGGTGCTCGCTGTGGTTGTGGCTGTTGCTGCTGAGGGGAATGCAGTGCAGGATGAGTATACCTGGCCACAGTGGAAGGTCCCTCTGGTTAGGAAAAGACGCACTGTGCCTCTCAGCAGCCCAAACTTCTCAGCTCGTCCTCAGTCTGAGCTGAGTGGGACCTGTGGGATTGAGTGTCAGCGTCGCCTTCCCGCCATTTCTCTGGATGACCTTGAACAGCTCCTGTCCTACGAGACTGTTTACGAGAACGGAACGCGCACATATACCTCTGTTTCTGTGCAGGGCTTCAATGAGGTGACTGCTTGGTCCGGGAACATCTCGTCCAGTTCACGTCGCAAACGAGAGGTGTACGGCACAGATACCCGCTTCACCATCTCTGACAAGCAGTTTTCGACCAAATATCCCTTCTCCACCTCTGTAAAGATCTCAACTGGATGCTCTGGAGTTCTTGTGTCACCCAAGCATGTTCTTACTGCTGCCCACTGCATCCATGACGGAAAGGATTATCTAGATGGCGTGCAGAAGCTTCGTGTTGGTATTCTAAAGGAAAAGTCCAGACGAGGGAAAGGAGGCAAGGGAAGAGGAGGGCGAGGAAAGGGCAAGAGGAGAAAGGAAGACAAAGGCAAAGAGGAAGTGGAGGAGAAGGAAGACAATGGTGGTAGAGGAGAAGGAAAAGGAAAACAGAGAGGTGGAAAGAGACGGAGTCGTCGCAGTGCGAAGTCTGAGAAACCTTCATTCAGGTGGACCAGGGTCAAGCAGACCCAGGTCCCTAAGGGTTGGTTCAAAGGTGTGTCTGACGGACTGGCTGCGGATTATGACTACGCTGTTCTGGAGTTGAAGAAGGCCCCAAAGGTCAAACACATGGATCTGGGTGTTATCCCCTCCCTGAAGAAGCTTCCTGCTGGACGGATCCACTTCTCTGGCTTTGATGACGACCGGCCTGGAAACCTGGTGTACCGGTTCTGCTCCGTCTCAGATGAGTCCAACGATTTGTTGTATCAGCACTGTGATGCCAAACCAGGCTCCAGCGGCTCGGGAGTCTACATCCGCCTCAAAGAGCCTGGCAAGAAGAAGTGGACGAGGAAGATCATTGGGGTGTTTTCTGGTCATCAGTGGGTGGATGTAAACGGGGACGGGACACAGCAGGATTACAATGTGGCGGTGAGGATAACTCCTCTTAAATATGCTCAGATCTGCTACTGGGTCCACGGGGACTCAAGCGAGTGCCGGGTAGCTTAAAACACCAAACCCTCAGACCCTTCTTTATACAAGGGACACCCTGACTACTCCCACCTGTCATCACCTCCCTGGGGCCCAACGACTGCCTCTCCTCTTCCTGCCTCCCTGTCATCTCCTGTGCCTCCCAGTGACTACACAAACACTGATCTACACTAACACACACACATGTACACAATTCATAAACAGCCATACAGACTCAAGAGACCTGTGGCTCTTCAGCTTTTTTAATTTATTTGCTAAAAATAATTGAGAAAAAAAATATTTGTAGGCTATTGTTCTGTATTTTCTTTTTAGATCATTCAGATCTGCAATTTTGCTTTCCATTTTGACTCTTTTTTAATATATCATGTCTTTGGATAAAACAGTGTGCAAAGTCAAATGTTTGTGAGCAAAGACTTGGTAGTTCATCTTATGTTTCAGTTAGGCTTTGTATGGAGAGACTGGCAAAAGACCGAGAACAACTAGATGATTTTTCTTTTGAAAGTGATCAATCTTGAAATATTGAGGTAATTGTTTTTTTAAACATTATATGGATCAAGCTGGTGTTTTTGCATTGTGTATATCTAGAAATTATTATTATTTGTTTTTACAAATACACTATAAAAAGTCTATTTTTCTGTCCAAATAGAGAAAACGAGTTTAAGGATTTTAATCAGAGGATTTTTTTTTAAGTGAGTCTCACCTTAACCTTTCTCTGTTCTTGCAACACAGTAAAATGTGCTCACATTTTTGTGCACATAACTATATCGGTGCTCATCCAGAAGACGTGGTGCTAATTTATGGAATTATAAACATTTTGTTTTTGGGCTTCTCAAAATATATTTTTGGCAGCCTAGAGGGGAGCTATGTATTTAATGTCAGGCTACATTTATGGGTTGTGTTAATGACCCATTTAACCATTTACTTGAGCAGTTGCGATTTCTCTAATTTTAAGGGTAAAATGAGATTGTAAAAGCAATGTTGTTATATGCTTCCATATTTATATCTGGGATGTGATGTTTTTTTTAAATATCTTTTCATGTTGTTTATGTTTCAAACCACATATGAGTATCCTTTGAATACCAAATACCTGACTATAATGAGGCGGATTGGAGTCTACCAGCCATTAAACCAAGATTACAATTTGTCTGTGTCTGTATGTTTGTGTGTGTCCATAACTAATTCTGATTACATCAAATATTCTACCATACTGTGGTTAAAACCGCCATGAGACCGTTTGGGGGATTATTCTATTTGTCTTGCAGAATTGTTTTATGATAATGATTCAAATAACTAATGACAACGATAAAGCTCTTTTATAGTAATGAACCCTCAGAGTATGCCCTTACACTGCAGTTTTTTTTTCAGCTCTACTATTCTATGAAGCTTTCAAGTGCTTTTTACTTGCAACTTCTTTACTGTTTAACTCCTGTTTTCTCATCAGAAACATATTCGACACAGTGGTGAGTCTGTTAAGGGCCTAGACAAAAATTAAATGAGGCACCTCAAACGGTGACCAACAACAGTCTACCCACGTCTTACTCGACTCGGCCAGCAGAGCACACAAACGCAGACACACTAAACTGGAGGCTGCTCTGCTAGATAAGTTAACCTCAAAGAACAAACACCATGATTTAATGATAGCAGAAGTTGTGTTCCAGTTTCTCTTACCCGCCGTTAAAAATTGACTAGCAGCACTCCATAACTATTATAATGAATCATCATAATCTGCTCCACTTACCTGTCCAGCTTTCTTTTTTCAAAATTCTTCATTTCCTCAGGGGGAACTTTCATTGACAAACAAAAGTTTGTCAGTCCTCGAGTGCACCCAACTGGCTCAGGCCCCCAAGCAGTTGCCTCCCTTGCCGGTTGACAAGCAACTCCTCTGATTCAACAGCAGGCATCTGTTTTCAGTGAGAATATCCCACTGTACCATACATACACTGCACACACATCAACTGCTGCAGACAAACAAATGGTAAGCTGTTGAGTATAGAGGCGATAAGAGGCCAAAAAGATGGGTATTTCAAATGACAAAATAAGGGAAATTGAATATCTGAGGGAATTTTGCAATTATAAATTTCTTATTATTATAAAGTGTTGCTCTGTTTCATTTTTAAGATAATATGTGATAATATGTCAATCTTGCATTCCGGCACCAGATGATGGGGCCATCCATCAAAACATCTACCAAAACATCAATATAACAGTCCAGGTCTATGGTATGATCACAGCCGGTGCACCCTTACTTAAATGATAATAACTGACTGCAGGTGTACTGGGCATCAGTTAGTTGTAATAAGTAAAAAAATAATAAACATAACACAGTGAATTTGATGTTAATAGGTCCATATTCATGGGGCGCCGGATAGCCTAGTGGTTATGTTACCCAGCCCATGTACGGAGGCTATGGTCGTCGTAGCAGCGGCCCACTCTCTCCTCCCAACATTTCATGTCTCTCTTCAGTTGTCATATCTAATAAAAGAACTCCATATTCCCAATATGACCAGAAACTAAGCAACACACACTGTGGGGCTTTTGGCCACTTAAAGAAACGGGGCCCTAGGGTAAGATAAGGTTTGGTAATGGGGCCTATGTCATCAGTGGTGATTTTCCTAAAGCTGTGGTGGGATGTAAGTAGTTCCCCTTCTGACAATTCTATAAACTTTAAGATGTGGAAGAAAAGAGAAGCCTTCGTTGGCAGTTCAATCGGTCATAGAATTTATTGCACCTCAAAGGGCTTACATGCACTGGGGAGGGTCATCAAAAAATAAAATGAATTTACAACTAAACAAAAATACATTTTTAATAATTCAGCCATGAAAAATGTCAATTATCTCCCATTTTTTTCTCGGAATCACAACATTTTCTCACAACCAATTGCTTATTCAGTCCATAGAAATGACAACACTGAGTAAACTTTACATTAGTCTGATTTACAGCACAGGACTTGAGACTCCGGTGGTATACAGCTGTCCAAATGCATATGAACATGTTGAACATGGCAAGTGTGCAGGAACAGAGGGGCCTCTGTTAGGATGCTTTGGGAAACAAGATTATGGCTGGATGCACAGGGGCTTCCTGTTGATTTACACAATGTACACATCACTCCCATGTGGCCGCTAACAATATGTTTACTGTTCAATTCACAATTGGCCAAAGGTCAGCAACAATCAAATAAAACAACTTGAGCAGAGCATATGTTCAGACAGCAATCAAACGTGACTTTTAATAAATCCGTTCATGCTTAAATCAGTGCAGATTGAAACAGTTACTTTATCTCATTTTATACAACTGCACTTGAAACAACAGGTTAACAATATGGAATTTAAAGGTACCCTGTTGACTTTTTAGATATCAAATAGTGCCATGATGCAATGTTGGATGAGCAGGCCTCTGCTTGTAAACACTTCATGTAAAGTTTTCAGGATGAATCGTCTTCTCATGTTTTACGAGACCATACATTTATTCAACACGTTTGCTAAGCTAAAGGACACAAAAAATGTTATTCTGTGATAAAAAGTGAATGTAAACAGAATGTTATTTAGATGCAAACTATGCAGGGCACCTATATGTTCCTGATTTTTGAGGGTGAGAGTTTTGAATGCTTTGAAATCTGAATTGCCATTTCAACCACACATCAGCATGAAAGACGTTTAAGTTTTGGTTTGATTGGTCTGAACACAGAGTTTGATACAACGATAAAATAACTTACTCTAAATACAGAAATAACCACACTGACCTGGTCATAATCACGATGAAAGCACAGGCAACAAACATAACCACATGGGTAGTGTCAAATCTGTAGGTAGACATTGTACAGTTACACTGAGGGAAAGTTTGAGTTTACCTCTGTGATCAATAACCAAAGCCTTCTGTACCGTAGGAAGTTGCAAGATATGTCCTTTAATAGCATTGCCAGCACATATCGACAGCAGTTTGAGGGATAGATCTAGGAGCAACAACACATAGAAATAACATCGGACAAAAGGGCAAAAAAGGAACATAGAAAAATGAGTAGAAAAATCAAGAAAAGGATCACTTCCTGGTCTGGTATGATTCAGAAGCCCATATAGAAGTTAATATACAGAAAACTGATCATATAGCCGTATTCATTTTTGTTTTTAAACACTTTCAAAAGATGACGGGAAAAGGAAGGATACTCACACAACTTCTTACAATTTCATGTCAGATTCACATTTATATTTCTCTTCAACAGACACACAGAATAGATACATAATCCTCGCCAGAGAAACCTATGTACAGCACATCAAAGAGGGCCTTTCTGTAAACAACACGTGACAACTTCTGTTGAAAATCTATCAGGGCTTTGTTTACCACTTCTATCCAATCAGAGATTGACAAAGAGAGCTCCTCCTCCTTCATAAGGAGGCAGACCACATATGGGATGGAGCTCAGGACAACCAAAGCACTTCCATTCGACTCAACACTAAATAAGAAATCTAAACACATACGCCTTCACGTTGACTCACCTCATTTGTGTGGTTTTTGTCGGGTTTGGAGTGATTTTCTTTTGACAAAAGATTAGTACATCTACATAAGCACACGCTTGTATTTTTTTTCCTCATATAATAATCCGCTATGTTTCACTTTCACAGTTTGTGCTACAACATCATCACACAGGAGACGGGTGGGGTTGATGGCGGGGGTGGATAAAAGAGGCTCTTGTAAGGTTGAGTAGCTGATCATGGCTGGCATCCTGAGGTGTTAACAGACACCAGGTAACAGGGCAGAGGGCCCTGCTCCAGAAGACAAAAGCTGGAACACAGAAACAAAAAAGAGTCAGGTCGTGTTCATGATTTCATACGGACTGTAGGTCACCAGCTGCACAACAGAGAATATCAGACTATCCCAACACTGACCAACACTAACTGTTTAAGCTGAAGTGATGAGGGCTACAAATTAGCAAATGAGGACTTGAACTTGGCTATAAGTGTGTACCCTTCACTTGATGAAGTGCTGTAAAAATAGCCTGAAATTGGACTTTCTTAAATCTTAATTATTAAAAAAATTAAAGGCTTTATATTTTTTGATCCAGCAGATGTCGCCCTTGAGCACCAGCATGACACCAAAACAACTCGCGCTGCATTGTTGTGTTAGCATGCTAATGCTAGCGATCTTTATTATGCTGGTATCTTCACACTGCATGTAAATTTACCTGAAATGAGCGTGATCTAGAAACACAGTTAAGCAGTGAGTACAGTATGTTATTCTTCTTTTCTCTAGTCCCTCAATTAAACAACTTTTATACACATGGGGAGGAGTCAGCCGACCGTCCTGGCGACTTCAACAAAGTGAAGATATGATTCTGAAAACTGAAAACATCACAGACAGTGGGACTCGGGTGTTACACCCATTGTAGACAGTCATGACTCACAGAGTTATTTTCAGAGGATATACTTGATTTATATTACATGTAAGTGTGAAAAATCACGTATAAAGCCTTTAATTAAGATGTCATGTCTGTCCCTTTAAAAACATAAAAGAAAACATGCCTAGGTTATTTTGAGTTCATGTAGTAAAAAAAAACCCCCAAAAACCCTGTATGTACCCTGAACTCTCACATGGGGCATTATAAGAAGTCCTTGAGGTCGAGCTCTGCCAAAGGGTCCTTGGGTTTCTTTGCACTTTGGCTTGCAGGTCCTGGAGAGAGCTAAGAAAAAGGGAATACAGGATTCATATGAAAAGCATTAAAAATACCTACAGAAACGTTATACAGCATTTATTAAGTTTGTCAATAATCTTTTGAATGTGATTTGTATACTAAGGCAAGCAAGTGGGTTACTACAGGGAATTGCAGGTAATATAAATTGTTAGTGGTGGTTAGTGCTGTTCATAGACTTCAGTTCAGCATTCAACACCATCATCCCTCAGCAGCTGGGGTTCAGCACTTCCCTGTGCAACTGGCTGCTGGACTTCCTCAGCGAGAGGCCTCAGACAATGCGGGTCGGTGGCAGCACATCAAAAACCACCATCATGAGCACGGGGGCCCCCCAAGGTTGTGTGCTCAGCCCCCTGCTCTTCACGCTGCTGACCCACGACTGCGCTCCATCCTTCAGCAGCAACCACATTGTGAAGTTCGCGGACGACACAACAGTGGTTGGTCTCATCTCCAACAACGATGAGATGCACTACAGGATGGAGGTCAGCCAACTGGCCACGTGGTGCAGAGACAACAACCTCTTCTTGAACGTCGACAAGACCAAGGAGGTTGTTGTCGACTTCCAGAGAGTCCCTACTCCTAAACCCCCACTGACCATCGACGGTGCTGCTGTGGAGAGAGTGAGCAGCACCAAGTTCCTGGGGGTTCACATCAGTGAGGATCTCTCCTGGACAACAAACACCACATCACTGGCCAAGAAGTCCCAGCAGCGCCTCTACTTCCTCCGCAAGCTGAAGAGCGCACGAGCCCCCCCATCCATCATGTGCTTCTTCTACAGAGGCACCATCGAGAGCATCCTGACTAGCTGCATCACTGTGTGGCTTGGGAGCTGCACGGCTGCTGAATGGATTATTGGTGTCCCACTCCCTTCTCTTCTGGACCTCTACGGTACCCGCCTCACCCGCAAAGCAACCAGCATTGTGCGTGACCCCACCCACCCCTCACACAGCCTCTTCAGCATCCTGCCATCGGGGAGACGGTACCGCAGCCTGCGGGCCGGCTCCACCAGACTGGGAAACAGCTTCTTCCACCAAGCTGTCAGGAAGCTTAACTCTCTCCCCTCTCTTCCTTCCCTCCCCTCTGCCCCCACAAACACTGGACGTTGAAACCCCCTCCCGTTTGCCACCAAGAACTCTGGACTAATAACTCTGAAGCTAACTATTCAAAAGTACTCAGTTTACTGCACATTGCACATATTGCACAAGTTTACTTTTTCTTTAAATTTTATTTTATTTATTTTATTTACCATTTTGTACCTTTTGCACAATTTAGAATTTATTACTGTAAATATTATTTATCTTATTTTTACCTCATTTTATTTGATCTATTTTACCTTATCTTATTTTACCTTATTTTGGTTGTATTGCACCGTGGGATGGAGACAAACGCAATTTTGATTCCACTGTATGTCTGGCATATTTTGAAATTGACAATAAAGTTGACTTTGACTTGGACTTTGACTTTACCGGTGCTCCTGGTGCAGCAGCTCCAACCACCCCAGTAAAGGGAGGTCTCATCATGGGCTGTCCCATCATAGGCTGTCCCATCATTGGCTGCATCAAGGGAGCTCCAGGTCCTCCTGCAGGAGGCTGAAAGTGGATTGGTGATGATGGTGAATCACCATACAGCTCTGAGATAATCTGAATAGTATGTGTTTGTGATCACAGCAAATGCAGTTTTTGATTTGCAGGCTCACAGCAAAAGTAAAGATGTTTTTCAATTAAATAAAACACTCACCATGCCAAAGCCAGGCTGTGCACTCATTGGTGGCACCATGACAGGTGCAGCGGCTACTGGTGCACCAGGAGCTCCAGGGGCAGCCCCAGTCTGGAGACACAGGAAGAAGAATATGTATAAGACAATCCTGAATCTAATTCAGATAGTTTCCATAGAGCCACAGATTGTGGAACTTCTATAATTGAATTGTTAGCATTATGATTGCAGTAATGAAAAACCACAAATAATGTATTTTGTCATGTTTTTGATGTGTGCTAATAGCTATAGTGTAAGTCTGTGTGTATAGGTAGCACTCTAAAGTTCTTTTGCATCATTTCCATTTCTGATGAAGTCTTTCCTCAAGATGGGGATTTTGGTGTCCATGCGGGTCTTACCATGGGGGCTCCTGGTGTTCCCCAGCTTGTGGGAGCTACCTTTGGCGTCCAGTTAGCACCTCCTGTCAGCTTCTTCTCACCCAGTGGGTCCCTAAAGGAGATCAAAAATGTTACACCTCAGACTCATCCCATTATAAAGGATGGGACCAGTAGGAATCTACACACAGAGAGACAGATTGATCACTGTCAAATACAATTTAAATCAATTTAATTATGAAGCTATACAGGATTGTTTCCAGTCATTCACCAAAGAGAATTTATGTGAATTTCTCTAATACAATCCAAATCATTATTTTCATTGAAATGCACACTTACTTTTTCTTTACTCCAAGGTCTGAATAGAAAAAGAAAGAAAGAAATTAATTTACAACTACATTTTTTAGTCATAAATAGAGCTCTGAACAAGACAAGCTATAAAGCCCACCTCCAATCAGGTTGGCCAGAGATGAGTCCAGGTCTCCCCCTATGGTTTTGGTAGGAGGTGGTGTGGCGGGGGGAGCGGCTGCAGTGCCTCCCATTGCAACAGGAGTTCCCATACTTCCTGCTGTGCTTCCACCAGAGCTCCCCCCGGTGCTCTGAGGTGTTACAGCTGGCATCAGCAGATCACCTAATCCACCAAACACTTGAGGGGAGAGTGGCAAAAGCAGGAAATCAGTGAAACAGAGATTAAAATCCAACAAATCCCTATTCTAGCTACGACTCGAGCAGAGGTATGACAGGGTGTTATAGTGAAGGGGACAGTCTAGCCAGGACAGCGTCATTAGTCAGCTGTGCAATGCATGCACAATTTAGTGCTGTAGTGAAAATGTATTTGAGCATTCAATTACAGCAAGCACTTGGCCAGTTGCTCAGCCAGTTTACATTGTCCATCTCTGGAGTTTCCACTTGCTGGTTTAAGTCACAGCCCTGGTTTTGAACCAGGTGGCATCTTGGTGTGTTTCCAGGTCTTTATTCCAACCAGGCGATACAGAAGCATCGTGTTGTGAAAAGTCAGAGAAACGGTGTACAAAGCACCCAAAGTAAGATCAATTGTAATGTTCAAAATCTCTTTCTTTGAGTTAATTGTAAACTATAAATACAGTCCACCATTATCCAATAACTATTACAACCATTTATTAAAAGGCTTTATCAAATGATTTCATCCAGTCTGTCATTGCCTTTAATTGACTAGTTTAAGCATTGATCCCATACTTTCAGTTAACTGTTAATGAATGGTCCTATACTCATAGCCTATGCAATACCCACATGAACATGTCATGCTCTATGAACACATGTTAGTTGTTTGTAACCACAGATTATTGGATTTGACATAATGCTGTAGCACAGTTATGTCATTGAAAGGTGATGTTTTGGCATTTAAGAGTTGGAATGAAAACCTGAAAACTCTGATGCACACATTGGCCTTGATGGCAAGTGGTAACTTCAAGAGCAAGGGCAAATAAAGATGCATTTGACATAAAACAAAGAACAATAGTTATTTGTCTCAGGCAGGAAGCGACCAGGGGTCTATTGCAGCATGCGAGTATAGAGGACCGCTGAAGGAAGACTTGTCCAAACTGCATATGCATCACTGAGTGGTTAAACTCACCAATAACAGATTAGAAGAAGCAAGCAATGACCCAGCAAAGTGAAAGGAAGGTGGAGAAGGTTGAAAAGATGTGTGTCGCATAGAAAAGTAAGAGTAAAAAAAGAGAGAGAGAGAGCGAGAGAGAGAGAGAGAAAAGCCAGATTAAAGAAAGGGGTGTGGTGAGTAGGCGGAGAGAGCACAGCATTTCAAAAGATGCGTTCAAGAGAAGAGAGTGAGAGAAAATTATTGCAAGAGAGGCAGCAGTGCTAAAGAGTTGAGCAAACAGCAGAAATAAGGAGGATAGTGACAGCAGCACATGTCAGTGTGTTATTCATGCAATAGTTAAGCTCTGAGCAGGACACGGTAACCATGGTGACGATAGGACCAGAGTTTTAATGAACCAGAGCAGATTACTGTGCAAATGCTTTTTTAATTTTTGTAACATTTCAAATTCATGTGACATGACAATAAATGGGGAAAGAAATCTTTGCAACCCATGATCCACTTACTTGAAGCATCAAAGCCTCCAGAGGGCGCTGTTGTGGTGGTTGCAGGTTCTAGTGCTGCTGCGAGTACAGGGGGTGTGGGAGAAGACAGGGATCCCAGAGCATCAAACCCTGACTCAAGTAGGTCATTCTGCAGCGGGGCTGGGGCTGGAGCAAGAGCTGGAGCCAAGGCTGGAGCCAGAGCGGGGGCAGCAGTGGGAGCCAGGGTGGGGGACATCAGGCCTAACAGGGGATAACAGACTGGACTGTTGCTGTGATCTATTATGTAGAACTATACTTAGACCCAACTCAATCCCACGAGAAAAAAACAAAACATATCAAAAATGAATTTGTTGGTCTTGTTTACTGTGAGCAAAAAAGTAATAAGAAGGGCCAAGGTAAAATATGTGTGTGCAAACACAGGAATCTTTCTATATCCACTAATTACATTAGATGTACACAAATGTATTTATACAGTTTAAAGTTACAGGTACAATACACATTCATAAAATGTCTGTAATGCAGCAGTTTAGCCATCATGGCTAATGTTTAGCTGTAGTCCCTGGGCAAGTGAATGTCAGCACAAGAGACACACAAGGTATGTTAAGACAAATCATCAATACTGTACACTTAGCAGGGCAAATATAGGACAGCAATAGTAAAACAATGAGACATCTAAACGCACACATAAAACACTTAAAAGTTGGACAACATGCTACACAGAGTAAAACAAGACAGAAACACTGTACACCTAGCAATGCACATAAGATAACTAACAGCAGGACAACACAAGACATTGGACTACCATAACAATGTAGGCATAGGACATCTAACAAGACACATGTTTTTGCCATCATCATGTCGTCATGTGGTCACGTTTTTTTTTTTTTTTTCCGGGTGAGTTATTTGAATTGGAGATCTTAAAAAGAGAAGTGAAGATCTGGGGCATTTCTGTGAAAGTGTCGCTCGTCCTGCTGGCTGCAGCGCTGGCATACGAAGCTAGCAGCAAGCTAGCCAGTTAGCTAGCTGGACGTCTGGCTCATCCACCATAAAGTTGCCTGTGGTTGATGGTACCCCTGCCAACCATGGAAATGGAAACCGACACCTGCCCCACCGTGCACCACAATGGTACAGCCCATCGAGAATCGCAAGCCACACGTCCTGCTGCTGATGTTCTGAGACTTCATTTCTACCACAGCAACCAAGTAGAGGCAAACTGCAGCTTCCTCAGCTACCCACCTGGGGACTATGTGGCTGAGGAGTTGTGTATAGATGCAGCGAAGGCATGCAGTATATCACCTCTGTACTGCAGCCTCTTTGGTCTCTTCCGAGAGAGAGACCGCTTGTGGTTTTCACCCAACCACATCTTCCAGCTTGAAGAATCAGCTTCAGAAGATGTGTTTTTCAGAATAAGGTACTATTTCCCTGGCTGGTACAGTGGTGGGCAGCCAGAGCATTTCGACACGGGGTCGCCAAGGGGTCAGAAAGCCCTGTCCTTGAAGACTTTGTGATGTCATACCTCTTCTGGCAGTGGAGGACTGACATTGTAAATGGTTTGGTGAAGATCCCAAACTCCCATGAGACTCAGGAAGAGTGCCTGGGCATGGCGGTCCTGGACATGACCAGATCATCATCCTGGTGGCAGCGGACAGTGGCATCCAGTGGTACAGAGAAAAATTAAAAGATACTGGCCAGGAGCTACCGACCTTGTGTGACTTTCCTGATGTCACTGACATCAGCATCAAACAGGCCAGCAAGGAGGGTGCTGCAGAGAGTCGTGTGGTCACAATCAACAAACAAGATGGCAAGATTCTGGAGCTGGAATTCTCCAGCCTGTCTGAAGCCCTCTCCTTTGTGTCAGATCACCAGGTCTGAAAGTGGGGAGTTTAACCTCAGTGGAACCAAAAGAAACTTCAGCAGCCTGCAGGAACTACTAAGCTGCTACCAAAAGGAAACTGTGCGCTCTGAAAGCGCCATTTTCCAATTCAGCAAGTGCTGTCCACCTAAATCCAAAGAAAAGTCTTGCCTCCTGGTGTGCAGGAGCAACAAAGGCTCTGAAGTGCCTCCATCTCCATCACTACATCAACACAACATCAGTCAGATGGTGTTTCACAAGATCAGGAAGGAAGATATGGAATTTATGGAGAGTTTAGGTCAAGGGACATTTACAAAGATCTTCAAAGGGGTCCGTAAAGAGCTGGGAGATTACGGACTGGTCCACCAGACTGAAGTAGTCATGAAAGTCCTGCACGAGGCCCACAGGAATTACTCTGAGTCTTTCTTTGAAGCTGCCAGTATGATGAGCCAGTTGTCACATAAATACCTGATCCTTAACTACGGCGTGTGTGTCTGCGGAGAAGAAAATATCATGGTGCAGGAGCTTGTGAAGTTTGGGTCTCTGGACACCTACTTGAAGAAAAACAAGAACTTGATAAACATCCTATGGAAGCTGGAGGTGGCCAAGCAGCTGGCCTGGGCCATGAACTTCTTGGAAGAAAAGAATCTAGTCCACGGGAATGTCTGTGTTAAAAACATTCTTCTGATCAGAGAGGATGACTGACGGGCCGGCAACCCCCCCTTCATTAAACTCAGTGACCCTGGCATCAGCATCACGGTCCTGCCGAGGGAAATTCTGATTGAGAGGATCCTGTGGGTGCCCCCTGAGTGTATCGAAGACCCTGCCAACCTGAGCCTGGCTGCAGACAAGTGGAGCTTTGGCACCACACTATGGGAGATCTGCAGTGGTGGGGAGAAACCTTTAGCAACGCTTGACAACTCTAAGAAAACCCTGTTCTATGAAGACCACCACCAGCTTCCTGCTCCAAAGTGGACAGAGCTGGCTAATTTGATCACCAGCTGCATGGACTACGAGCCCACATTCAGACCCACATTTCGTGCCATTATTCGTGACCTCCACAGCCTCTTCACACCAGACTACGAGCTCATTGTGGACAGTGACATCCTGCCCAACAGGACGGCTGGCACAGGCTGGGCGACTGGCGGCTTTGAGAGTCAAGAGCCTGCTCAGTTTGAAGAGAGACACCTCATATTCTTACAGCAGCTGGGCAAGGGACATTTTGGCAGTGTGGAGATGTGTCAATATGACCCACTTCAGGACAACACCAGAGAGGTGGTGGCTGTGAAGAAACTCCAGCACAGCACTGCAGAGCACTTACAAGACTTTGAGAGAGAGATCGAGATCCTCAAATCTCTGCAGCACGAGAACATCGTCAAGTACAAAGGAGTTTGCTACAGTGCAGGGCGATGAAATCTCCGCCTCATCATGGAATATCTGCCTTTTGGCAGCTTGCAAGATTACCTCATGAAAAACAGGGAGAGGATCGACCACAAGAAGCTTGTGCATTACACTTCTCAGATCTGCAAGGGTATGGAATACCTGTCGAGTAAGCAGTATATCCACAGACACTTGGCAACACGAAATGTCCTTGTGGAAAGCGAACTGAGGGTGAAGATCGGAGATTTTGGCCTCACCAAAGTTCTGCCTCAGGATAAAGAGTACTACATGGTCAAAGAGCCAGGAGAGAGTCCCATATTTTGGTATGCCCCCGAGTCGTTGACTGAGAGCAAGTTCTCCGTGGCCTCAGATGTCTGGAGCTTTGGAGTGGTGCTCTATGAGCTCTTCACCCACAGTGACAAGAACAGCAGCCCTCCTGCAGTTTTCATTGTCCATGATGGGAAACGACAAGCAGGGACAGTTAATCGTCTATCACCTCATCGAGCGCCTCAGATCAGGCAGCAGGCTGCCTCAACCTCTGGGATGTCCCACAGAGGTGAATGAGATCATGGAGGAGTGCTGGGACAACGACCCTGAATTGCGACCTTCTTTCAAGGAGCTTGCGCTGTGCATCGACTTGTTCAGGGACAGAAAGAGTTTTAGACAAAAAAAAATCACCAAGTGCCCCGCTCCTTTTCAACCGAGTCGCTCTTAAAAGTTATTGTCTTGTTTGTGACAAAGGGACAAAGGCCAAAAAGAGGTTCTTCTGCTTAGTGCCAGCGTGTGGCGTGTGACTGGAAGAATGGTGATCCAAATCTAGGACCAGATGAAAGACTACTGCCAAGGTGCCTTTTAAAGAAGGCACTTACAAGCCATTTCTGCTGCTAATTCAATTAAAAAAATTGAAGCTTGGATGGAAGGAACCATTGACTGTAAATGTTGCTGGAAAAAAACATTCTGTCAAACATACTGGATTAAGTTTTTTTTTTTTTAAACAGTTTGTGGAGACCGAGGAGAATATTGCCAGGTTCTGAAGCTAGACACTTCTGTCTAAGAAGTCCTCTGTGTGTGTTTAAGTGTATTTGTGTGTTAGTGAGAGAGAGAGAGGAAGAGTGTGTGAGTGGGTGTTGAGTCCTGTTGGGTCACGCAGGCTTAGGACAGTCAAACAATGGACTTGGGCCTGCACCCCTGTGGGAAGTCTCATTTGAGTGATTCACTGAAATCACAAGGAAGCCTAAAAGGACTCTTTATCCCAGAATTCCCTGCGGTACTTCACACCTACGTGTGACGTAAAGGGGGGACCGGAACCTGAGGGAGACCCCACAGGAAGGCGGCCAGGTGACAAAACTCCAAGACTTCCATTGCTCGCTCTCTTTCCACGCGCTGACTTCAAGTGCTCGGAGACCCAAGCTCACCTCCTGTTTTCTGCAACCATCTTCCTTTGTTTTAAGTTTTGGCGCGCAGGTAATCCGCGGCCGGCAGTGTTCTAAATTCCGAGCTCGGATTGTCCAGTGAACGCATCTCAGTTTCTCGGAGAGCGTCAGACTATAACAGATTATCAGAAAGATAACGGTCTTATTCCGTCCTGCAACGAAAGGACATCAACGGACATCTTTCCACTCGACGGAGAACCAACAAAGCCGCTCTTGCCATAAGGGACCCTCGCCGCCATCCGACGCCTCTGCACCAGGACGGACAGAAGATCTGCTCCATCGCCAGACTCTTTTCCTTTCACCAATCGCGGACAAAGCGATTCACAAGTGAGGCTTAATTAGGTCTGGGCAGAATTAGCTTTAGAGAGTGTTTTTAACAATTGTTTGATCGAAGCAGAAACTGTAATTTTTATCTTTGTTGGACTTGTTGGAGTTTTAACTGTTTAAAACTCTTGTTGTTGTTTTGGACCGCTGCGTAACCGCGTTTTAACCGGGTATTACTCTTCTGATCCGAAAGGCCAGTGTAAGCCGTATTAACTTGAATTCGGCCATTGGTTTGTTTCTGTGAATGAAGGGAATTACTCCGAGTTGTGGCGCGGGAGTCGGACTGTGATCCGGCCTCTTCAGGCACGCATTTCTCTTTTATTCTCTTTTATCCTCTTTTATTTCCCCTTCTACGAACATACACACGCACATATTCCCGTGTAAATGTACATCTGGAGACTAACTCCACCACCGTGCCATTACGCACAGAGATCTATACACTCGCGGCTATCCAGACGCCTCAGAGACACAGATCGTGTAGGGCCGAACTCGGTCTCTTTCAGACAGTAAGGCCAGTAAGGTCTTTGTTAGGTGTGCGCCATCGAAAGGGCGACCACGTGGGACGAAGTAATCTTCCCCCCCTTCTCTCTCTCTTTTATACACACACACACACACACACACACACGCACCCAGGTCTTTGTTAGGTGTGCAAGAGCAGTTGTTTGTGATTACTGGTGTATTTGCATTGTGATATAAGCTGGGTGCGAAGGCTTTGTGTATGGATTTCACGCCTTCAATTTATTAAATATCGTCGCCTTCTTAAAATAATCGCCTAAGTCATTTTTTCAAGTTTTTCAGAAAACACAAAAAACTGAGCCAGATGTTGAATATATGATATTTTCTAATTATTTTACTCAACAAGGTAATGAAAACAGATCACTATTGACATACTAATAACAATGTCTGTCAATTATGTAACATGAGAAAAAGAAATGACTTAGGCAAATTTTTTAACATGTGTCTGTGACTTAGGCAATTTAACAGCTTGAATTCTGTGAACAATAGCATAACAAAGCATAACAAACACACTAACTTAACATAATGCTGAGGAGCCATGAGCATCTCCTTACTTTTCCTTCCAGCTCTACTCTGCTGGGTTCTTCACTGATGCCTAGTAATGTGGCAAATTGTCAAAGAAGTGATGACACTCGACAGGCATGACGTTTTTCATTGACTGGAGGTCCTGGAACTTTCTCTCCTTGATCGGCAGAGCACATGGGAACATTCTTATCCATGCTATTGGCTCATTTGGCACCTGTGCCCTCTGTGGCAGTGCCTCCCACACAGAGTCCTCCGAGAAGGACAGCTTGAAATGGACCTTGCCTTCACTGCTAAACTGAAGACCCCGCAAGTCATGCACAGTCGGATCTCCAGCTTTTTTGCCTGGTCTGATGCTAATGAAGTAAGATCCATTCAGTTTCAGGAACTTGTCATGCTTGAGCACCTGGACGTGATAAGGTGATGGCCTGATTCTTGCAGTCTGGAGTATGATGACGTAATCTCTTGGGGTGAAGATATCCGTAACCATTTTGCGTTCAATAGTACTGTGCATGCTGTCACACTCCATTTGTGTGTGCCCTGCAACAAGGTATTTCTGTGTTATTAGTACCCCATATTTCCTTGCAAGCTTAGAGAATGCATTCGCCACACATGCATTGCGGTTTTGATAACCACATCCATCACTCCACACTATGATCTCCTTGAGTTCTGGATGGTCCTTGATCACACCCTCAAAATGGCGATATTGAAGGTGTGCAAATACCTCGCCACTCAGGTCACCCTCCGATTCGTCCCAAATGTAGTACCCTTCCTTTGATCTCAAGTTGAACAGGGTAAAGTTATGGACCTGCAGTTTTGTTTTGTAATACAGGCTGCTGGCTTGGGTTTTTGGACACAGCAGCACAGTTTGCAAGTCCATTGTCCAAACAGACTTCTCATTATTTGCAGAATCCTTGTCACAGGATTTCTCTTGCCTTGCTTCATCTTTCCGGGTGACATGTGCATCATATTCCGCTTTAGTGATATTCCCATGCTTGAATGAATCACAAACATCACACTGATCTTTTCTTGGAATGAATACAGAATACTTCTCTTCATGGAACACATCTGAGAAATATTGTATTCCAACGGCCCTCGCTCCAGCAGTTGCAGCTGCCTGTTGATATTCCCGATGTAGTTGGGAGATGGTTGTGCCTGGGTGAAGGAACTTTTTGTCTTTGTAGGTGTTTGTGCTTCTGCAGTAGTGTGAATCAACAGTGGGCAGGTCCCTCAACCAGTCCTTAAGGAAATCCTTGTCATCAGTTTCAAGCTTTGCATGCTTGCCACTCTTAGGTCCACATTTAAGCGCTGGCGCTTGTTCATTAGGGTCAGTGGTGTTTTTGTTCAGCCAGCATCTAATGGTTCTTTCAGGGAGACCAAGTGTAGAGGAAAAAAGTGCCTTGCACACTTTGAGACTTGTTCCATCTTGAAGCTTGACTAAAATGCTGACTAAAAAGACTAAATAACTATGCCATATTTATAGCCTAGCCTATATTATAGTAAACCTCATCACTTACCAATCGGGGATGAGCCTTGAATCATGGCAATAACTTCGGTGGTTAGGTACATTTTTCTCCTCCTTGAAGCAGCCGCCATCTTCACAAGCTTGTAGGCTACAATTGCCTGAGTCACATTGTCTTTTGACTTAGGCAAAATAAAACGGCCTAAGTCACACTCTTGACATAGGCCATTATATTAAATGAAGGTGTATATCACATGATCTGTTTAACTGAGGTTATAGGCAATTTTACCAGCATCATAAGAGTTGATTTAGGCAAAAAAATCATTTTTCTCAAAAAATGACTTAGGCAATTATTTTAAGAAGGTGACGATATAGTTATTCATTATTAATAATATTAGTAATTAAATAACTAATTTGAGACTGATTTGAGTGATATTTTGGTTATATTTACCTGATTACAGGTTGGTGCCCCAAAATGAGATTAAACATAGTTTAATGATATTTTATTTATATTATTAATAATTAAGTATAATTATTAAAGAATATAACCAAAGTTGACTTGATACAACCCCAACAGTCCATACAAACACCTAGCCGGGCTAGCTTTCATCATCCCTTTTCCCTTCTTCTGAAGAGAATTGGACTAAATAGTCTTTCGTGTTTTCTATGTACGGTATGTGTGTATATACAAACAGTATATTTGTGTACATATGTCCAGAAATTTTTTATAATTTTATAAAATGAAAATACAGTGAAATACTCTATTTGAACTGCCAGCAAAACGTCAGTGTTAATGAAGTTCAAACAAAGGTGATTTAAAAATCTGTTATTGTTTTTTGTTTTCATTGTGAGAGGTGTTGTCAACATTAAACTTGTATTCCAAAAAAAGCGGGCGGCTGTGGCTCAGTTGGTAGAGTTGCCACCTCTCAACCAGAAGGTCAAGGGCTCAATCCCCAGCTGGGCAACATGTCCAATGTGTCCTTGGGCAAGACACTTAACCCTGAATTGCTCCCACTGCTTCAGTGGTGGTGTATGAATGGCATTAGTTACCTCTGATGGATGATACTACATACAGATCACTACCATCAGTGTGTGAAAGGGTGTGAATGGGTGGGTGTGACATGTGGTGTAAAAGCACTTTGAGTAGTCAGAAGACTAGAAAAGCGTTATATAAGCTCAAGTCCATTTACATTTAAAATACTGAAGAGCAGGAAAACAGTACATACGTGTCCAACATTTTAACATTGTAGATACAGTATTTATATTAGTGTACATGAGCATGTAAACAGGATGTCTGTGTGCTCATATGTTGAATGTGTTGAAAATGTTCTTACATTTTCAGAAATAAGAAGAAGAGAGTGATAGATGGACAAGAATATGACATCACTGTGATGTCAGATTTATAGACATTTCTTAATTAGTCTGAGGCCATTTTGGCTCTGCAGTTAAATGCAGTATAAGCAGTCCTGCCAAGTTGGCTTCATTATTAATCTAACAAATGGATATTGTTGATTACTTAAAGCCTCATTTATTAATCAGCATCAAACATTTCTCTCACAATAGAGCTGGCATAGAAACTTTTCCCAAGACAGCAGCTGTCTTGTCCATATTTGCTCGTAATTTAAGCTTTTCCAATTCACCAATGGTTACCATTGAAATAAACCAGTAAGAGGAGTCTCACCTCCCAGCAGGTCATCTCCAGGCCCTCCAGGAGCAGAGCTTTGGGTCTCCTCTGCAGGACTACTGAAAGAATCTGCAGGAAGTCCATTAATCCACAATGCAGCATGGAGGGCAGAAAGGGGTAAGAAGTCAGCCCTGGACCACACACTGGGACACGGTGCGGGTAAGAGACAATGTTATTCTCATAAACACAAAAGATTAAATAAAATGTCACACGAACTTAAGAAAAAAGAAGATGGTTTAGATTGACAAGGATTCCTGATCATGATGGGTTGTTATATTTTCATCCAAAAGTATACTGATTCTAAAAATCTAAGAACATTTCATACCTATATGTTGCAAGATTTATTATGGAATGGGATTTGGTGCAAAATATGAGGAAACGATAAACAAAACAAAAGCACAGCCATGCAGATTTCGGCTAATTTATTTGAGTTGGGTTGCTCACAAGCTAGCATTTACCCTTTAGCACTAATCAAAAAGTATATCGCCAGAGCCAATGTGAATGGCTTTAGTTTAACAGGTAATCAGTTATGAGACAATTTCCTGAACATATGAATTATCTTCCATGATTATGACATGTTGCTTTTCAAATGTATTTCCTGTTTAAAAGATGTTGTGATTTACTTGAGCACAATTGTGTTATCTTAACTGTAGTTATTATTTTTAGTCCTATTACAAATGAGTATGAAAAAAAACTTCCACATTTTGATTTGATCAATATGCTTCACAGCATCAATCTATCTACGAATCCATCCAATACATTTTTTGCAATGAAAATACAAAAAATATTTATATTTATTTACTGTGTTTTTAGGGCCTGCACCATCATTTCAGATGTCTGTCCAAGAAGTTTCATATGTCTACAGAACTCAATATCACTTATCACTGTGATCCAAAAGTTGTAAACATGTTTAATTGCAACCTAAATGTCAACCTTTGAATGAACTGGACAAAAGTTTAGATCAAATAAGCGACAGTCAGACATTGCAGTATTTAGATCCATGCCATAAAAGATTATTTCCTGATATAACACCAGTGACTTGAGAATTGAGTTACATTTATAACAAGGGGAGGCAACTACTCGATAATTGTTTGTCCTTTTTCAGTTTGTCACTACATCTACAGAATCAAACTCACTTGGTTCAGGCAATTATTCTTGCACTTACTGTGACAACAGTTGATGATTAAAAAAAATACTCAGAAGAGGAGAGTAGAATTAAAAAATGCACAAAAACAGCTAAAGTCAACAATTGATATTATGAAGAAACATTGCTGTTTAGAGAGGTGTACAGGTGTTCTGAGGTACAGTACCCAGCAGGTCAATGACAGGTGCCGGCTCTGCTTTGGGCGGAGAGGAGGCCTCTGGGACAGGAGCTGCAGCAGGAGCAGTTACTGGAGAAGTAGCAACAGGATCTGGAGCTGTAAATGAGTCTGAACAGAGACACAGGCGGAGACATAAGCAGAAGAAAGAGATCCAATTACTCTCAAGTCTCAACGGCTGCAGTTATCATTGGCAGCTTTAGAACCAAAGAAAGAATGCTTTTTTCATGCACTATTATTAAGCCTGCTCTAAAGGGTTAGCAGACATGCAGAGTGGAAGAAGGAGAAAGAAGCAGACATCTTTACTGTGTATCCACATCCTTGAAGCGTGCACCATTTTGAAGTACAGGACTGGATTGCATGCACCAGCACCAATCAAAAATCTTCATATAGTTGAGGATGGTTGCACTCTTCTTAAGTAAAGGAAGGGAAAACAATGATGCAGGAAAGACAAAGCAGCTTTACTCACCGGTCACAATGTCCCCAGACAGAGCCGGTTCGGGCAAAGGAGAGGGCCCGCGCGAAACAGCAGGAAGGTCTAATTTACCAACGCAAGCGAGAGGCAGAATACAAGAAAGAAGAAAACCATGGAGGTTGGGGAGCAAAGAAAAGAATTAGCGTGGCAAGTAGAAAGATACAGCGTTGATAGAAAGCAGCAAAAAAAATAAAAAACACTCCAGGACTGGACGAGTGGGTAACATGCACAGTTTTCATAGCACTATGGGGCACAAACCACAGACGTGTAGGGATAAAACAGTTGACAGAGTACGTATGGTAACCAGAAGATATGAAGAGGTTCCACACAGAGAGAAATGGATATCAACTCCTGTACCTGCACCAAAAAGGTCTACGCTAGGAGTGGTAGCAGCTTTGGATTCTGTGGTAGGGCTTTGCTCAGGCTTATCAAGCATATCTACGAACAAGGACACACAATCAAATGAACATTCAGATTTCAAGTCCAGTGCAAACAGAATGATGGGTTAAGAAGAGAGATGAGAGAGAGCAGAGAGAGCAGAGATTTCAATCTTAAACAGCTAAGCTGCAATGTGTCTGTCAGTGCGGTGCAAAATGAAACTGTGCAAACTTCAAAAGGGTGTATTGCAAAATTTTAGCATCCCTGTTTCATTTTGTAAAATTGAAGGATTTGAACATAGATTATTTAAGAGCTTAAAAGTAGCAGGATCCTTTGCTTTCCAGTTTAGTGAACAATATTAGGTTTTTACTGCAGCTCGAAGCGGACATGCATATATACATTTAATTTACTGTTTTCCTGTGAAAACAAATCATGTTCAGTTATTACCTGGAGACCCCAATTCATTTATCTCATTATCTCGAGATAGAAATACTAGTTTTTCCTCAAGATCCTAACTTTGTTTCAATGTTATCTCAGGATATCAAAGCTAGTTTCCTGAATGTTTTTTTGTGTTTTTTTTATATCTTATCATCTCAACAGAACAGGATCATTTTCTGTCTATCTAGAGAAAGAAAACACTGTAATAAGATAAACAGCAACATGCCATCTTGAGATTCCCCACACTAATGAGGATAGTTATGCCTATATTTGTCCCCTGCTTTTGTGTCTCTGGAGATAAAAGATAAATAACTCGAGATCTTGAGAAACAAATTGAAATGACTTGTTATCATTGGGGAAAAAACAAGTTAATAAAATGTATGGATGCATGTTCACTTAGGGCTTCTGTAGGTTTTGCTTTTTAGCTGGCTAACATTTTTCTAATTTGCACTTAACAGCAAAGTTTAGACTTATTACAAATGTTGAACAGATGAAGGCGCTTCATTTAACTTAAATAAGCCAAAAAATCACAGCCAAACATCTAATAGTTGGTCGGTTCACACCAATAAAAAGATATCAACCTCATGACATCAGATGAAAAATCAGTGGATCATATGAAGAGGTAGGATACGTATTCTAGAAAACGTGGATTTTTGTAAAAATGCTAGAGTCTGGAGATGTGACTTAACACTTTCATCTGCTGATGGCAGTAGATAAAAGACAAAGACTTTCTGTATGAACTCTGTAGTTATCCATTTTTATAAGCTGTGGAGAAAATGGCGTCCTGGTAACTCTAGAGCCACAGCATTTAAGTGGTTAAGGATTTCACAAGTTCTGGATGTAAGTTTTTTGGAACATGGGAATACCATATGCTCATCCTTAAATCAGTTTTTTATCCATGTACACATTTTGTGCAGGGTCAAGGAGTTCTCAGTCTCGGATCTCACAATGAGTAGCATTGCAGTATGGGTAATTTAAAGTCTCAGATAACCCAGAGGAAACCAAAAACATGTAGAAATTCTGCAATTGAGCAATAAACCCTTTTAACTGAAGTGCATTAATACGGTAAAGCATTCTCAGCTGTCAATGTCTAAATTAGTGATCACAAGCAGAAGAAGAAAATAATTTTCTTCCCTCTATGTCTGTTAATATGAGGTTAAGAATCAAAGCAAGTTGAGCCCCCTCTTGTGATGAAAACAAATTCATCTTAACTGATTTCTCAATGGAGATTTAACACAGGATTGTACCTCCTTAATGACAGAAAATAGGTTATCTATAAAAAAATAGCACACACAACTGGCTTTTATGGCACATTTTTATATAATTATGTTTTGGAGAGGAGGTCAAGATGCTTGATTAACTTGATTAAATGATCTGTATTTAAAGAGGAGGCATGTAAATTAGAAAGAAGATCTGAAATGAAGGACTGAGCATGTTATTATAGGTGTCACTGTGGTCATCATCATCACTAACACGAGCAATACAGTCATCATTGATATCAAAAGCTTCAGCATCATCATCGGCATAATGCAGGGCAATGCAGTGAGAAGCATGATGAGAGCGAGAGGACTTTACCACCAAAGAGATCTAGAGTCGGGGCGGCTGCAGACTCTGTGGTGGTGGTGTCTGTGGCGGTTGTGGTAGCGGTGGCAGTGGTGGAAGAAGGGGTTGGGGCAGCGGGGGGAGCGATAGGGGCGATGATGGTCGGCGCCTCACTAGAGGTGGGAGGGGTGATGGCGCTGGCCCCCGTGTCGACGGGCTTCATAGCGAACAGATCCATCTCTGGAGCAATGTCTGCACTCCCCTCCGTCGTGGCAAAGGGGTCTTCAGGAAGAGCAGTGGGGGGGGTGGTGTTGAGAAGTTGGAGAGGTTAGAGGGGTTAGAGGGGTTTATGATGAGAGAAGAAGGGAAAGGGGAGGGGGGATTAGGGTTTGTTAAAGCAACAAGCACTTTTGTTAGGCAAGACACTTTAGAGCTTAAAATCAGAGTTTGAAACAAAGAAACTAAAACCAAGCACACGGTCACTCATTAAGTGAGAACTGCATTCTTCAGCAACAAATCTCATATCTAGCTAATATGATCGACACAACTCCATACAATGACAAGTGGGATTTAATTTATTCTTATTTTAATTGTTGGGAAATGTGTTTTATTTTTAAAGATGAGGTCACTGAAGTCTTCTCCCTGACCCTGGTGCATTGTGGGCTATAGTGATGCTAACTGGTAAGCATAGCGGTTAAAAGATAACAGACTGCTAGCATTGTAGCTAATACAAGTGAAAAAAGAACTTGAATGAAGTGTCTTGATCAGCTCATTCTTCAGTCCAAAGGCTGAAGAATGAGCTGATCAAGACACTTCATTCAAGCAACTAACACAGATGTATGTAAATACAGTGTTAGCCAGATACTCACCAAGGCAACACTAACAGTAACATTTAGATCGGCTTTAGTAGCATTTAGTACTATTTCTACTCTCTCTTACAACTTTGTAACTTTTGTACAAACATGTATGAGTCTGTATTCTGAAAGCTACAAATATCAAATAATTTTTAATAGAAACCAAAGACTGAGCACCTTGGCTTGCTAACATTAGTTTGGCTTCTTAGCTAGCTAAATTCAGCTCTTTATCAGGCAAACTGATAAATGTGTACGTTTTTCTGAACGTGCTGTCTTTTTTTAGATAAGTTAATACATGGATGGACACAGAATATAGCTAATTCATGTTTAATAAAAACTGTATGTTTTACTGCTATGGTTTTTGTCTTAAAGGCTTTATAGGCTATGCAAGTTTTTGACACAGCAGATGTCGCCCTTGAGCTCCAGCATGAAACCAAAACAACTGGAGCTGCTAGCGATCTTTATTATGCTCGTATCTTCACACTGCATGTAAATTTACCTGAAATGAGCGTGATCTAGAAACACAGTTAAGCAGTGAGTACAGTATGTTATTCTTGTTTTCTCTAGTCCCTCAATTTAACAACTTTTATATGTGAGGGGAGGAGTCAGCCGCTGTCCTGGCGATGTAAACAAACTGAAGATAGGACTCTGAAAACTCTGAAAACATCACAGACAGTGGGAGTGTTACATCCATTGTAGACAGTCATGACTCACAGAGTTATTTTCAGAGGATATACTTGATTTCTATTATATTTAAGTTTGAAAAATCGCATATAAAGCCTTTAAGTTAAGTATAACCTAAAGGAGAGCTTTTCATTTAGGCTATGAAACAAATTTTCAAGAAAAAGTTGCATTGGTTCTGCAACATGTTCACATCCAAGGAGAGAAAAAAAACTGTCATACTGGGAAAGAAAGACGTAAAATAGCTGGACAAAGATTAGCAACATCATCATATCACCAAGTAATATCAGAGTTACCAACAGTATCTTTCTTGAACTACATCTAACAGCTGCACTGGGCTTTTTAGTGCAGTACTGGAAGAATATTAGCAGTCAAAGAGTAGTCTACATAAGGGAGAGGAGGGTCCATGACTGGGGCGGTAGAGAAGGATTTGGGGTGAGACAGTAGGGCTAAGGATTCTTCTACTGTCTCCTATTGAAGCAGAAGCAGCTTTTACGTTCACACACACACACCCATACACTCTGACACACACTTTCACCAAAAGCTGTTTTGTCACCCACCAGATCCGGCAAATGCATCAGCAGCAGGACCCGCAGCCACGGCAGCAGGACCGTCTCCTGGGGAAGGTGCAAACGCATCTAGGGTATTGCAGACGTAAACAGCGGGAACGCAAACGCAAAACATAACACCCGGGGCCAACATACCAACAGACACATGGATGTAAAGAACAAAAATGAGTAAACAGATGGAATGGACAGGAAAAACAAAAATGAGAGGTCAGAACCAGGAAAAAGCAGAGAATACAAGAAATATGCAGCCCAGTTTCTCACAGGGAACGATGTGGTTATACTATAATCACATTTGAAGTTTGAAGGGGCTGCATAATGCTTCATTCAGTGAGCGCACTACCAGTGCAGGTTTGTGAAATGAGGCAAGTTGTCACAAGTTTTCTGTACTCTGTGACAAGAGGGGAAATGTTAAGTTCAGGGAAAGACAAGGAAAAATCTTTCTGTGAATCATTATGGCTTATTCAGCAGACATTTGATCCTTCTCCAAAGTTAGAGCTCAAGTTAGTGTTTTCAACAAAATGCCAAATTAGCTTATTATAAAATCCATCTTTTCATCACAGTGACACATTTATGAAACTGTTAGTAAGCCATCGAGGGCTGCTTTACAAAAGCAGCAAAAAGCAGCAAATCCCCAAAATACAAGTCATAATAGCAGATGTATTACATTCCAGTGGGTTTATTGGTGCACAAGATTATGATGAAACTCTCTGTTGACTGTGTACATGTTAATATTTAAACTTGTTTGTGCCTTTTTTGTAATCGTGCAGCTCTGAGTAAACCCAGTGAAAAGCAAACGTAATCCACTGTGCTGGCTCATATTTTTGGCATGTGCCAAGTGTTTTGCTCTGAGCTCAATGCAAAACAGAGTGTGAACACTTGACATTATATGTCAGCATTCAACACATTAAGTGTACATGGCTGCAACAAACAGGATGTAAACAACTTTAGAAAGAGGAAAAGGATAGAAAACCATGACATTTGAGTCACAGTACTATGCATCCATTATTATATTTTTTTTACATTTCTTTACATTTGACAATCTTCTGAAGTCTGAATAAAGTCTTCTGAATTAACGCCTGTTCTGAAAGTGCTTGTGGAGGACTTTTGTTTTAGAAGTTTTCCTGTTCCGGATATGAAGAAAAAGCCATTCTTCTAACTCAATTTTGTAGCACATTCACCTAAATTACAAACTTTAAAATAAATTGCACGTCGTTACTTATTTGATTGTTTAATGTCATCTGTCATATGTCAAATACTAAAGAAAGAAAGATTTTTTTGAATACCAACAGACAAAATGTTTTGTTCATTATTATGTTAAATATGTTAAAAACAGTCTTGAAGGTTCCTAAAATACCTCCAATATTCCAATAACTGTTGTTTCACAACGTTCTGTCTTTTTCTTAAGACTGTTGGGTTAGTATTAGTTTTAAGAATGGATGTGTAACTCTGTGACTCAGATGTATCGATACATGACAAGTACAAACTGGTGCTAAGGTGCCATCTGTTAACTAAAGAGTCATGATCTACTTGTTTCTGGCATGATTCTACTACATTTTATTTTTAAGTCACCTCAGGATTATCCTCAATCTTCATAAATGTTGAAAGAAACCTGTAATCTGATTGGACAGAGTCATTCAGTTTTTGTTGATTGACGATCATGACGTTCAGGAAGTAGAATCATATTATTTCTACTGCTTTGTACTGACTTTATGAAAAAGGGTAGCTATCTGTATAGTAATAATGGGGATAGTTTCTGACAAGCAGGCAAGCTGTCATGTAGTGTTTTCCTGTCTACATCCTATCCTCGAACCAGACTGACCTCCGAAAAGGTCCATGTCTGAGGCAGCAGGTTCAGCAGGGGCAGCAGGGGCTGAGACGGGCAGTGAGGTGGGCACCGTTACAGCTTTGGCAGCAGTGGTAGCGGGGGCTGCAGGGGAAGCAGTGGCTGCGACATCAGCAGCAGCATCACACTCGTCCTCCGCCATGAGAGCTTCAGAGGCTTCATCAGTGACGGTCGGAGTTGCTATGTGGATAAACCCCATAATCCAAATACCAGGACCCAGTCACAACCCCAAGAGAGCGAAATATGAAAAAAAAAGAAGATGGCAGAAAAATTAAAGAGTCAGAGAGACTGAAAAAATGGGAGTCCTAAAGCTTGACAAAGAGGCAATAAGAAATTTAGGTAGAAAGCCAAGTTGGAGAGTGAATGAAGTGCCTGCAGGCATTTCTTATATTTAGTCCATAGCAGAGTGCTGTCATCATCATACTCACCCACAGCCAATAGATCTGCACAATAAACAGACAGAGAGAGACAGAGGTGAGAGAGAGTGAATACATGACTTCTTTTAAGTGTGGAGAGTTTTGATGAAATGTTGACAGCTGTAGCAGCGAGCTGAGTATCAGTAGAGTATCAGTGAAGATGTGGGGGTAATCAGAGAGTGGTCGAAAGAGCTACAACAGCTTTATAATGAAAATCTGTGTAATTCAGACAGCTGCTGAAAATGGTTAATCTTCTCTAATCTCATTGTGGGGAGTCACCTATAAAAGATCACCATTTGTTTCAGTTTGTTCTAATGACATGACCTGCTTTTACTGCCAACCTTTCCTAAGAATACTCTGTTGTTTTTCTTAATCAATTGCCTTCTCTTTTTCTCAGTTATCAGTTTACATTGGATTTAGTGTTACTGTGGCTTAAAAATCATTCTGCAGGGACTTTAAAGGCAGGGTTGGAAATTTTCAAAAACTAGCATGATTTTGAAAGTAGCCTTCTCTCAGTGCTCACCCCCTGTGCTCCCTCTAACATGCCAGGCTGCATTGATCTAGAAGCAGACCTCGACTCATCTCTTGCATTGTGTAGAAACTGCGTCATCTCATGTCTCATTCAGCGGAAAGTAAACTCACAGTATAAACTCCGTTATCTGTGACATGCTTCGAGTCTGGGCTAGTGCACGCAAGTGGAAGAGAACGAGTAGGGAGACAAGGAGGCGTCTGATTGGTTCATCAGATTAGTACCTCTTAGCAGACATTTGTTGGATTTCTTCGTTCTTTTTTCGGAGCATATGAGTTATTAATTTCTGTCAGGACCTAAAGACAATTTCAACCAAAATCTTAAGAAGTGTATCTGGAGAAAATTACCAACCCTGCCTTTAAGTTACTGTACATTTTAGAAAATGGCTCAAAGTAATGTAAAGTGTTGTGTAGGAAATAGGAGGAAATGCCAGGGATACATTAAGAGAGTTATTCCCAATTAAAATACTTTGGGTCTGGTGTCTTTGTTTATATTTTTAAACGATAAGGAGTATTATAAGGTGTAACTTCTATAACGGAAAGGACTTAAACATAAAGTTTTTTTTTTGCTTTACAAATAAAGTTATTCTTATTTTTTAACAATAAACTGAATCTATCTGCATGTCAGGCTAACTTTAGTACCTACAATTGTAAGTAATGGTAAGCCTACTTTTACATTTGTTAATCAAAGAAAGTTATCGAGAGATAGTATCATCAACAAACTCATAGAGCTTTATTTCAGTAAGCTCTAGCTGATAAATCTGCAAGCAGAAGTTACTTTTCATAAGCTGTTTTTTTTTTTCTTTCATTGGCAAGAATTCATCACTTTCCACATGATTCACTGTGTAATGTGACCTTCCTAAACTGAGAAATGATGTATACAGAAGCAGTATTGGGCTTGGCTTTGCAAAAAACAAACAAAAGGAAACTGACAAAGAAACAAGTTCTCACCTCCCCATCCTGAAGTTGCTGTAGCGCCCCCTGCTGATGAGGAGGACATGGGGTCTAGATCCAATAAGAAGCCATCATCAAGAGCACTAAACAGAGAGAAAGGGAATCTATTTCTGTTGCAGTCATTAATGCTCCAATACGGATGCAGTTCAGTTTAACAATTTGTCTTATTGTTGAGGGTTTCTTACTTGCTTGCAGCAATGTTGCGAGCTGGTGCAGTGGGGGTTACAGAGGGTGGAGGAGGTTTGGCAGGAGGCCCAGGACGTGCAGGGGGCCTGCTGGGTGCAGCTGGGGGCGCTGGTTTTGCTGGGGCAGCTGCAGCAGCTGGTGTGCTGTTGTTCGCGGTTGCATCCTGCAGCAGAGATAGACCCCAGTTAACATTAGTGACTAACAAAGTTACACAAAGTGATGTGATTCAACAGTTTTTTAACACAACAACAACTTGATGCCTGCGTTAAGCAGTAAAAGGAAAGTGTAAAATCAGAGGTCAAAGGATGCTTTTACACTTTCTATTGAAACGTATGCTGCAATAGCTGTGTGTGGACATTTAAAAGTGCTTATAAATACTATGATTATCATGAAAAAAAGCTCACCTTAGTTGGGGACCTGCAAAAACAAAAAAAAAGCACATAAGTTGAGGAGTTGAATGACAACAGTTCTTACAGAGATAAGCTATTTAAGCTGTTTCAGCTATTCCATTTAGTGAACATGGGCAGTAAATGGATCCATGCTGTGCAGCTGAGTAATAACATCTTGGCCCAGGTTGTTCTTTAATAAAGCTTTGCTGTTCAACATCGCAGATACAAAGTGAGATCTCATGTTTTTTCAATGGCATGCATCTCAAGCTTTGTTAAAGTCTGGGCTTAAGTGCATCGATTAATTGATTGATTGATTGATTTAATGTTATCGTCAGGCAAAGTCTGAAATTTGTCAGGCAACTCAGGCGCTCCATTTGCAAAATAAAAATTGTAGAAAAGACACAGAGACAATCATTTGACACAGCATTCAAACATCCATATAAATATTGAGAGGCCTTCGACGTGCTTTGATCTGAGATTCAGCTCCATGTTCAATTTTAGGATTGACTGGTGTATAAAAGAGTGCTTCAGTTTGACCTTATTAAAGGCGTGGGACCTTGTATCTCAGGTTTGATGGTAATGGTTCATATTCACTGTTCAGAGATGATGCTGTTAGCAGCCTCAACATGTTTTCATTGTAGGCTGAGTCATAGAGTCTCTGGAGCAGTTGGCCTTCAATCTTTGAGCAGATTTTGAATTGGTGGAGCTGTTTAGACTTTAAAGTGGTGTACAGTTAGATAATAACACAATGAATATGTTAGTAATCATGCCTGAACGATGTCACAACTTGCACAGTGTGTCAATGAAAGCAATGGTTTTAAATTCTGTTTGGCCACAAATGCAAACATAATGAACAAGGAAGTGATAAACAGTGTATGTTTATATAGACCTGCATCTTGAACAAAATGGTTACAAAGTACACAGATACCCTCATGTCAGATGTCAGTTCAGATGTCAGTTCTATTGATTTACTGAAAACCTAAATGGAACATAAAGTTAATGTACCAATACAAATGATGGTCAAAGATTGTCCTTGACTGTACTTACTTATCCTCTCTGAGTGAAGTGAAGACAGAAGAAACACATGTTAGAGATGTAACAGAAGTAGAACAGGCCACAGGACTTCTGGCGTGCAGCTCTGTGTTACTACATTTCAATAACAAAAAAAGCCTTGATATACTGAACCACTTACGGCTTTTTCCCCTCCAGCGTGTTGAGGTGGGTCTCCAGGGACTCCAGAAGACTCTCTGGGGCCTGTAGAGAGATTAATTAAGAACACATTACAAAGGTCAGTAAAGGTCAGAGAGGCTGACAGTACTGATACACTCCACTACACTCCATCATGAACAAAGACGACCACACAGTTCAATACGCTGTAGAAAAGGTTCGTTCCACATCTCCCATTTGGTTAGAGAGATTTCTTATCAGACTATACCTCTACTTTGAATTAAAAAAAAATCTTTGTGTCCTATGCTGGGCAAAGTCCTCATGTTCCTCATCCTCCTCATCAAAAATAATATAAATCTAATGCATGACGCATGGCTGAAAAAGGGTCCTTTTCCTGGGCTTGTGCTGTAGGTACGATGACAAATTGTGTTTAAGTTAAGCAGCAACCTCCAATTTTTTAAAAATGAAGCCAATGCGGAAGCCCAGAATCCTGCAGTTTGTCGAGGGTCTGCTTGAGGCTGGCTCCAAGAGCCCCGGGAGTCACAGACACACAGAGGTGTCAAAAGTACAGAAGTTACAGAAGAAATATACCCGTTTACAGCCTGGTGAATTTTTTTACAACGCATCTTATTTGACTTTATGAATGATATGTGTTATCCATAGTTAGGCGCGTAGCCGACCTGATTGACAGGCGAGAACAGTTTGTCAAGAGGCTTCAAAATCCGCCTCAGCTCCAGCTCTCAGCCTGTCGTTAGGCTGAGACAGGATTTACAGCACGGAGACTGCTGCCAATAAGCCCCGTCCATTAATATTTACAGTCTATGGTTCAAGCAAACCAGGCTAGCATGCTATGCTAATGGTACAGAGCGTGTCAAGTTTCTGATTCACTGATAATCATCTTCTTTGTGCAGCTTTACAAAATAATCCAATCAACATCGATTCATTGCTCTGGTTCTCATAAGAATGAATTCTATTCTCAGATTAATTTATCTCTGAACCCCAGTCTGTCACTGGGTTCATTGCTTTCTTTAGTGCACATTCTACATCTTGGTTACAACAACTTCCATCACCAAACTTGCTGCGTGTTTGTTTACAACAAAAATTATGCTTTCAGTGACACCGTTTGTTCTTACTTTTCTAACCACTGTTCTAACCCCCCCACCCCCCATAACATACTATTCTGAAAAAGCAGAGTCAATAAAATAACATGAATTAGAAACAGATGTCAAGTACTGCATGAATTTTTAAAATTGTATCCAAAGTTTTCAGTGTAAATTGGTTTCTTTTCCTTTTGTTACAAAGGTAGCTGATGAAAAAAGGCTGCAAACAAAACAAAAAATAGAAAGAAAACAGAAAATAAAACAGTTAAAGGTTAAAGTGAGAACGGTTTGTCAGCCAGCCACAATGCATATCTGCATGCTCTATCAGGATATACAGGCATTTATCACCTTGTGCCATGCAGGAACAAGGATGGTTAAGCATCCAGTTTTCAGCCAGTTAAAAAGGTCAATAATTCACTTTCAATAATTCCATGCTCCATTTCCTTTATACACCTGCCCAAAGGCCAACAAAGAGAGGCTGGTCATTTTTTTTTGTCTTGGCACTGAGAGGGGTGTGTAGACAATTTATCAAGCAGACACTTTAAAGTATCTGGCCTCTTTTCAAAGAACAAAGCGGGCTGTTCTGAAGACAAAGGACAGACACAAGAACTCTATAAAGAAACGGCTCTCGTTGAAAAAGACTAGCACTGAACTGTCTCCATTAGGGTGTGACTGCATCACATCAACAGGCACATGTTTGTACTATGATCCTTGATACAGATTTCATTTAATGAGTGTTTTCTAAATCTGCTCCCTGCCCTCAAAAATTAGCATGCAAGTGTGCATTAGTGGTCTAATCTACGTGGAGGGTTAGAGGGTAATATTACTCTGTTCTAATTGTGCAGATGTAGTTCATCCTGGGTGGGATAAGCGTATAAAGTGGCATCTAAAACTGAGATTAATACACTTGAGCTTGAGAGACAGGGAGGATTGATATAGTTTGCTCCTCTGGACACATTAATAAGGTTTTATCATCAATGCTGTGCCACATTCACACACAGCAGCCACTGATATATGCAGGTTGGGCTGTGAGGATTAATGAGGGCTGTGAGGATTAATGATCTCTTTCTGCTGATTTATGGAGGAGTAATACTTCAAACACTGTTGCATACCTGCTATTGGACATGTTGGAATCTAAAAATGGAGGGAATAGGTCTGTATTCATTATTTATGTGGCATATTATCAGGCTAGCTGAGGGACACCTTTTCCTAAGAAACAAGCAAGTATTTAGAGTCAGTCACTAAGGAGACAGAGATTAGCCTCCAAAATGTTTCCACAGTCAACATCAAAATGTAAAGTACTCTCAAGACTTTTCAGGGGTAAAAAAATGGTGTATAGCATCTGTTGTTCATGTGCCTTCAAGAAAGTTGTTGAGGGGGGCAATAAGTAAACATGTGTCAGCAAAATTCAGGACTCTAGTAAGAATAACGTTCAAAATGTGTCAAATATTGTGTAGTGGCTCCCTCTAGCAGATAATAAGTTTACCTTTAGCCAGGACTTATTTTTGCCCTCAGACAGAATCAAGGCAGATAGCATGGCCTATTTCAGGTTAAATGATAAGCTAAGCTAGCTGCCCTCTTGCTTTAGCTTAATATTTAGCATGTAGATCGAAGTGTTTCATCAATCTTCTCAACTAATTCTAAGTTAAAAATGAATACATGTTAAACTACATTTTATTTTGCCAACAAATCCAGTCCAGTAACATGATACAGGTTATTAGTTTTAGTTAAAGCTAACCTTATGCCCTCCTTGCATGTCCTCCAACAAGAAGTTAGGGATATAAAACGGTTTCTGAAGATCTTCAAAAACACCCCATCTCCCACTCAATTATACATCAATACGATAATACATGTCGTGGATAGGTTTCATAACATTAGCTTTCTGTAGTCTGAGTTTAGCATTAGAGCATGCTTTCATGCAATCCATACTGTCATATTTGAAAGGACAACTTGAGCTTATAGAGGTTCCGCAACAGTTTTTGAGCGTACTCACTAGAGGCTCATTCCAGGACAAACCAGGAGAAATCAGGTGTCTTTTTTATTTTTTACTGGGATTCACTTATTTAATCAGGAATCAAAAAAGGCAACATGTGACTCTATCTGTTATGGAAGCTCTGCAGCACAGGTCAACGTTTACAATCTGCTGTGTCTTTATACAGTCGTTGAACTAAAGCTATGTTTAGCTCAGAGTTTTAGCAGCGGGAAACAATGCTTAGTCAGCAGCATTGCTCAGCATAACACAGCTTAACCAATCGCCTAATCAAGTCATGTCATCCCACTTCATCACAGTGCTGATGTCTGAATACTGGGTGTGCACTCGCTCCTGTGCAGGGTGCTTCAGCTCAGTGCACTCAAAGAGAGTTCAAATGTTGACCTTCCCTAAGCTGTTTGCTCCCAGAAGCTAGCTCTGTGCACTATACTCACTACTCACACTCTCAGCCTCAATGATCAATCTGCATCTCTGCAAGTGAACAGACAAAGGGGGGGCCACATGGGCAGTCAATCACCACAGATCCACAGCTCATTGGTTTGAAGTGCTCATAGCTTACAGCGGGATATGCCTGTTTTATAATACACTGTGGCTGTCTGTGAATGATTATAATCAAGGGAGAGAGATTATGCTCAGCACAGCAGGAGGGAAGAAGAAGTAGCGTTAGACATTCAAAGTACATGCATCACAGAACACAATACACATATGCTTTGTTAGTATGTAGCCTTAAAAAAAATCACAAATCGTTTTCAGTTAAAAAGTATGAAAACATAAGTTTAGAAAACAGATAAAGGTAAGAGAAGTCTTTGATGGTCTTACCTGGGTAAGTTCAGGGATGTCATTTTTGTCTATTCCCACTTGCTGTAACAGAAGACGGGGACATTTCAATGCAACAGTTACCAACCAGAGCAAGATCATGCTCTTCATTATTTGATACACTACCTCTGCTAATTTGAAGAACTCTGAAACGCGGGTCATTCGTGTCAGGAATCTCTTGTAGATCTCAAGCCCGTCTTTACACTGGCTTCTTTTCATCTGGAAAAATTTCTCTAGACAACAGAGACCATGAATATGAAAATGCATATTCAAGTAGAATCTCGCAATGTTTTATTTATTTTTTTCCTGTGAAAGGAAACAATACCGACAAAAAAGTGTATCATGTTATCTTTGTACCTAACCTGGATGTATTTTAGTCCTGTGTGCCGGAAGCTTGAACACACATCAGTCAGGTGAACAATTGCACTGGTTGGCATGTTTCATAACCATTAAACACAATCTATGTTATTGTGAAATGATCTGACATGCACGTTTTTGTATCTGTAAAAACTCATTAAAGTCTTCACTAAGAAATAGTCCCAGTCAAAGCAAGTGTTATTTAAAAATAGAACTATGGATATGTGACCCAATCAAAATCATTTATTTCATCAGTATTTTAGAAAGAAACGTCTCAGGGCTGAGCGGGACTGCTTGGATAAGGATGGAAGTATTTTAGAGAAAGACTAACACATTAAAGGAAGAATGTGTGTCATTTTACTCATTTTATAGCAGAAATTAAGTCTATCCTGTGTAAATATCTCTCTGAGTCATGACTGTCTACGATGACTGTGAAGCATGAGTCCCGCCAGCTGTATTTGTTGTCAGAGCAGTGTTTTCATCATGTTTACATGGAATGGGACGGTCTTGTGTTTAAAGCTGTTTTAGTCAAGGACTAGAGAAAAGAAGAGCAACATTGCAGACTCACTGCTTATTTGGATGCATCGTAAGTGTCTTTAGCTCACGGCCATTCTGTGTCAATTCATGTGCAATATGAAGATATAAGCTAACTAAAGTGTGCTAACATCAGCATGCTAACACAACATGGGCAATTGCAACTCGAGCAAAAGACAATTTTGTCCGATGCTTGCGCTTAATGGTGCTTAATTATGGTTTATTCTGATAACTCCTTCGTGCCAACGCGAGTGGAGAGGGGTAGAGGTGTGCCACTGGAGGAGAGCGGAGGCTTCAGGATAACGGAGGTGTATGCTCGCCCAATCAGCAGTTTGTATTGGTTTAATGCTGGTGCTCAAGGGCCACATCTACTGGATCAAAAAGTCACACATTCCTTCTTTAATGGTTGGGTTTTTCTATGGTGTTGTTGATATACGTATATGGGATGTTAAAGTTAATTATAGCATTCTTGAAAAAAAAATAGATCCACAGTGTTCATTGATGGTTCAATCAATCAAGAAAGAAAGGGAAAAAAGTGACTTTTTACCGAGGAGGTTAATGATGCCGTCATTGTAGCAGGCGTATAATTTGATCAGATCTTTGAAGAGGAGCAGGAAGCAGGCGTTTATCACATTGTTGTTCAGCTCTTGTTGATGCACCTACAAGATGCACAGTGTGGTAAAAGATATCACAGATGAACAGATGGGACACAAAATAACAAACACAGACAAAAGACAGGTCTATTTCACCAACGGCTGACAATGTTATTATTTTTTTTTTTTTTGTAAAGGGACCATGTACAATATTTAACATTAATGTTGCCATTTGATGCAGCTAGTTTACATCTGCAGTCCCTCACAAGTCAACCCAATGCAAAGTGAAAGAAAAGTGAGTTTTTGTGGTGTTTTTCAGTCTCTGTGTTTGAAGTAAACAAAATGGAAAATGGAGGTTGACATCTACACCATGGGTATTCATGTTGTCTCTGTTACAGTAGACATCTATTTTTACTTTTAAGGTATGTTTTGGGGCTGTTTATCACTTTATTTTAGGGATAGGACAGTGGATAGATTCAGGGATTCGGGAGGAAGAGAGTGGAAAATGAAATGCGGGAAATGAGCCAGAGGTCGGACTCAAACCTGGGCAGCCCACTTGGAGGACTATGGCCTCCGTACATGGGGCGAACACAATCACCACTATGCTGCCCGCGCCCCCAGTAGCCATCAGTAAACCCTTCGAGAATGGTCTGTAACTGACGAGTCCCCATGGGTGCTTCTACATGTCAGCTTTATTGGCAGCTCTTCTCACACCTCTGTTTTATCCCTCGTCCAAATCAGTAACCTTTGCAAAATGGCTTTGCTCTCTATTATGGAGTGTCACTCACCTCAAAATCCAGCAGCGCGTCAATCTGGCTCTGCAGGGTGGGCATTCCTTTCAACAGCTTCTCTACTGACATGGTCCTCATCGCTCCCTCAGCTCTGACACAGAGGATGATATAGAAACAGTAAGAGTCATGTAGCAACTCCTAGACATACAGATTGTTGCCTACATGCAGTCTGTTTACTGAAGAATACCTGTCTGTACCTGACACACATATATCATTCACCCATGTGTCTGATCTCTATTCTGAAGTCTGCACTTTACTTTGTGTCAGCTAGCTAAACAGAGCCGTCCAGCCTGTGAGTATGAGTAATAACACATTCTGTATTCATCCCTGCACTCTGTACACCCAGTAAAGACATGCACTCTGCCAAACGCCTGGCTGGAGGTAGCTGAGTCTACAGAGGGGGTTGAGTTCCATAATGTTGCTGAAATAGTCATACAGCAAGGCACAGTCGTGAGGAAAAAACAGTACCCCTTCTTGACTCGGACAAAGTCAAAAGACATCTGTCTGTAGGCGAAGGACTTCTCGTTCAGATAGCGGCTGTAGCGTCTGATGAACGTGGACATGTCGTAGCCTGAGGAAGACACAGAACATAAGCACATGTTCAGTCTCAAATGCCAGCAGAGGTAAGGGTATTAGTAGGCCTTTGAAAGGGTCATAAATCAAGCAAAGCATGTCAAGCATGTCTTCATAACCTCAGTAATAATGGTGAGTACTGTTTGCATCTTATACATGTAATATGTGATGTGTAGGTTATAAACTGTCTTAGGTGGTCTCATCTTATTCTTTAAAAATAAAGCTTCATTTTGTTCTTTTCTACTGTCCAAGTGATTATTCATTTTGATGAGGAGATTAAAACCACTCCCTCGTCTGAGCACAGAGTCTAAACCCAGGAACTATTAGCTTAATACTGATGGGATTCTGTCTTTTGTCAGTGTGTGAGATCCATTGGCTCAGTATTAAAATTAAAATGTCTCTTTTGGCTTTAAAAACATCAACCACGATCACACGCTGACACGCCGACACAAACACTTGAAGGAATCTTGATGTTCATGTGTTACTTTTAATGACAGCTGTCCTTTTCTATCGGAAAGGTATCCTTAAATGACTTCTTTCCCTGATTTCCGACTCTATCCACTATCCTATTTCTACAATAAAGGCACAAAAAGCCCAAAAATAAATCTTTTATTTTTTTATTTTTTTTTACTTGACCTTCAAGGGGGGCATTAGGGGGGACGGGCCGCCCCCCTAATATGATGGTAGGGGAAACACTGCACATGGCACATTATTTTGAAATACGTTTTGTATGTCAAACTCTGCCTTTTCTTTATTTGTGTTTATAATTCACGTCATACAAACATCCTCTTATTCCGTCTTGTAATTATGTACAAAATTAGGTAAAGAAAAACATTGTCAGAGAGGAGCTGACTCTTAGAGATGACATGTTCACTGACACACCGCTACAGCTCAGCATGAAGACTAGTTCAGGTGGGAAACAGCACCATCAAAGATTAAGGAAAACATACATAGACTTTAATATACAGAATGTGTCTGTTAACTTCATCCCAGTCTGGTCAACCCTTGAAGACAAAATGTCCATTAAAAACAGACTATGAACCCAGTGTTTATCACCATGGGAGATTGCACCTATCTCCATGGAGATGGGTTTAATTGAGGGGAGCACGGAATAGAAAAGCTTAGACTGAAGAATGGATAGAAAAACATTGTTGTAGTAAAGTATAGACTTCTTTTCTGTTGCACTTCTTGTGTTTGTCTAAAATCAAGTTATTCTGTCCTCAGTTCATCTGTTTAAGGGGGAATGATATGGGTATCATAACATTCCCCCTTAAGTGAGTAAAACCCAGAATGTAGAACTTAGGGTTAAAGAAAGATGGAGGGACAATCAGGAAGGAAAGAAACAAAAACCCACCATGGGATCCAGTTTTGTCCAGGAAGTTGGCAAGGTTGAACAATGTGTTTCGAGATGCCAGCAACTGAATAAATTTCTGAAGGAGAAAAAAGAAGTTTAGATCTACTTCAAGCACAAAATGTCACACATGAGAAACAGCCTCTCATTTTTTTTCTGAAAGAAGTAGCTGAAGTTAGCATTGATTACCAAAAATGTACACATTTAGGGTTACTTACTATAAACAACTAGTAATCATATTTATTGCAGAATAGAATGAACGATACATATCAGGAAGACTAAATCTATATATAATTTGAGAAACACCAACAGTAAACACCACAGTTATGAACTAAACTGTATATTCCAGCAGTGATGGTTTAGGATTTTTTAAACAGATGGCTCAATTTAAAAATAGGAAACAACCCAGCTTTTTGAAGTTCACAGCTTTCTCAAAGAGACCGTTCACCAAACCTGTGAAGCTGCCTGCAACTGAGGGTGGAGGTGTTATTCTTGACTAGAGTTGTGTTGCAGTCGTGAGTGGAAGGGCGTTAATATTAATAAGACGCAGGGAGAGGACCAGGAAACAAAGCATGGTCAAGACATGAGGCTCCCTCTGCAGAGGATGAGCTTACTCCAGTGACACACATGGAGATGAAAAACAACACACACACACACACACACACACACACACACACACACACACTGCTGATGCTTATTCAGTGGCTTCATTTACACAACGGGGAGCACAATAACATGAAGGGAGGTTCAGAATGAAAACACCTCCCTGGAGAATTTGTGAGCTACACATTACCTCCCCTCCTCCTTTCATCCCCTCCCCTCCCTCTCTCTCTCTCTCTCTCTCTCTCTCTCTCTCAAAGATGGCTAAAAATAAACCAGAACCAAGATGCATATTGTAAACACACAGTGTTTTGCCTTGTCAAACATGATTTCATGACTCAAAAACATTTAGGACACGCAAACCAGAGCACAAACATTTGGGGGAGGGGAGGGGGGTGCTCCCTTTGTTTCATTGCACTGTCTCTTTCCTTATTTGACATCACTTTATCAATATATCACTGTTTCCTTTGAGTAATCTGCAGTTCTGTGGCAGCTTGTGCACTTTGATGGGCTGTAAAGCTGCATCTGTCTATCTCTTTGCTTTCTCCCTTGTTGCCCTGTCATGGCCTTTATCTTTCTACAGCTGTCAGGACATGAACGGGGTCAGGGGGGTGAAGACAGGACAACAAAGGGTCAGTCCCTTTGCTCATCCAGGGACTGCTGATAACATCTATGGAATAAATGTACAAACTCAGAGTGTATGGTGTAGAAAGAAAGAAAAAGAGTCAGAAGGTTAAATAATATACAAGGACAATCCATTGCTATTATCTCTCCGACTAACTTTACATATACTTTATTGTACCTTCATATGGACTTTATCTGTCCAAAAACAATATTTAAAATAACTGCAGCAGTCTGTAAAATCGAAGGCAATTTCAGACTTAGGTGATAATTATTTTTCTGTTCATCACCAGATGCATTGTCTGGGACATTACACATTGGGCCAGATCCACAAAAGGGGTTGCGCTACTTTTGCGGGTGCTAGACCTGTGCAAATGAAAGATAACGTGGAATCCACACAGCATGCACAAAGGGTGAAATGTGCACAAACTGCACACAAACTACACACATACTACACTGCCAAGCAGATAGCGTCCAGGGTGTGCCTGTTTCATTTGCAGCTATGTAAATAAGGGAAAATTAAAAAATGTGGTGTTCCTAAGCAAATGAGCCGTGTTGCAAATACCATCTACACACAGTAGACTAGCGCTAATTGCATCAGGCCATTACATCAGTGCTATTTCACGCCATTGACACATTAAATCAGTATTAAATCGGTGCAATTTCTCCTTCAATCTATTTTCTGCTTACACAGATAAATGCAAAAGGAGGGCACATTGCACTTAGCTAGTGGTCACTGAGGCACTGAATTTATAATGTATGTCACACACAAACTCTCAAGTGATCAGGAAAGCAATTCCCACCTCTGTATGACTTGAAAAATAAATGTTCTGGTAAAGTTTGGAGATGTTACTTTGGCATTATTATTATTATTATTATTATTATTATTAATAATATAATCAGGGCTTGAATCAGCCACCACCACCACCTGTGTTGTCGTTGCTCGTCCCATCCAGAGAGAAAGCTTTGTGACAGAAATTTAACATTTTCAAGTCTGGCATCAAAATAAATCCTGTAAAAGTTCCCCCTCCCCTCCCAGCTCATCATCTTCAGCTCCATCAGCTTAGTGTGCAGCTGCACACAGCATAGAGGTGCAGCCAGCTTGTCTCCACATGAAGGTGGAAAACAAGAGCAGACTTTAGAAAAGCAGGACCACCCTGTGGGCGTGTTAGCATCAGCATATCATTAGTGCAAAGACTTTTTATAGATAGGGTGTTTAAACAGGGCAGATTGCGGGTGCTATTAATGGGTGCAATCCATTCTTAGGGGCCCATTGTGTTTGAACCCATTGTTAATTAGTGCCAATCTAAAGCTATTGGCAATATTACCTAAATCCAAACCCTTGAACTGAACTTGTTGTGTATCAGCACTATGGATGCACTCTTAGGATGTGACCTTTATGATTTACAGTTGACACCCCATTGACAGGAAAATTCAAGATTTGTAAAACATTTCTTTCTTCAGAGATCAAATATATTTTGACATTATGTAAGCAGGCTCCTTCATCAAGGTGGTCAGCAGGTTTGCTATCTGATTAGTATTTAAAGCATCCAGTTTAAAACATCAACGTATAATGACAGTAAAGCAGCCTGATATCAGACCTGGTATTTTCCTTTAATGCATTTGTATTTTAATCAACAGTCACTTGTGACCATTACGTCCTTTATAACTATGTCCCAGCCCTCTGTATCTGTAGTTAAAAACATCTCTTAAATACATCTTTAAGAATCCCTGATGCTCGGATCCCTTTTTATTTATGTCATGTTTATTTGTATAAGGACAGGAATAGATGAATGCCCATCCTTAGATGGACTTTTAAAATACATCCACTAAACAACAAATAGAAAAAAAACATTAAAACAGAACCATACAGGATAGAAGATATGCCTCTATAGAAAAAGAAAAGCTTTTGTTCAGAGTGAACAACAGAAATCTTGCCTTTTCGGAAACTTGACCAAATTTCAGCCCAACATATTTGGTGTTATTTGAAACTCTGGAAACTTCCCCAAAAGCATTTTTTTTTTAAATATTATTAATGAAGTTATCTCTATCCTTTGACCCACATAACACAGCTGAATAGATATCACGTTTTCAGTTTCTTATTACATGAACACTGTAGAAGCCAGTCTGTGCGCTACTGCAGCTTATTTTTTAAACGGGTATTTGTGACCTTCTGTCTTTTGCAGAACGTAGACAGAACAAATACAGATATACAAGAAATACAGTTCTGCCCTGTTTCATTTTGACTTCCTGGTAGAACCATTTCCAGTGCAACCATCTTCTCCTAGCTTTACTTAAGGGATGCAACAACACTTTGGTGGCAATTTGATCATCTGGAGGTTCACTGTGCTCAAGTGGAGACAAATGATTTTCTACTTCCCCTTGCTGCTTTTACCAGACATCCAAATCAAAAACATTCAAGTATTTTCACGTGTGTAAAGATTATTTCAAAACATCACCTCATTGCCATGCACCATGAGATGGTGTGTAGTGATCAGGGCTTTGAAGACCACCACCCAGCTGGCATTTCCAGCCCTCTCCATTAGCGTGTCGACCATCTGGGGGACATTCACAGTGGTCTCCTGGCTGGCCTGGATCAGGTCTGAGAAACAACAAGGAGGTCAGATGATGTTTAATATTAGGGGAGAGATTCAGCTCTGATGAAGCGGGTACTGAACACCTTGAGTTTGAATAACACAACACAAACCACTGCACAGAATTTAAAAGAAGGAGACAGATGGGTGAGAAATGACAAACAGGGGTGTGCGTTGCATTTCACAGCTGCACTCTCTCGAATCCTAATACTCGGTTTAATTGTTTCCCTCGAATAGTGCGTCCTCACATATGCAAATGAAATGACATAGTTTGAAGTATTCTGAGTCAATCAACCTATTTTCAAGCTATTGCAAGGTAGTGATTGAATTTCAGTCTCATCAAAAGATACTCCCTTTAAGTAATAAAATAAGTGTACATAATTAAACACGTTATTTTAAATGCAAATTTCCTGAGAGCTGATTTCAGCACAGGGACAGATGGTAAGTGTGAGGGTTAGACCTGTGGTGTTGGTTGGGTCCAGTCAATCAGAAGCCTGTTAAATAAGTAGCAAATTTATTTGTGCAAGCCAGAGAAGCTAATGTAAACAGAAGTGCATCTGGTAGGATACTGCTGTTTCTCCATCTCTCCTGAAATGAATGTAGATGAGTGCTTCACATTATGCCTGCATTGCCTGATATGAGTCACAGCTTTGTTCGTTTCTGCAGCCAGTCGTTACGAGCGCACGAGAACCATAGCAGAGGGAGAGAGCAGATCTAAAAAGGAAAACAGAGCTGCCACTTTGTTCATACTGAGTTGTAGTGACAAAAACATATCATGATTATCATACCACAGTTATCTTTAATTATTAACATAATAAAACTATTCTATGAGCAAACATGTAACATCTTCAAATATATCATCTAGACCAGGGGCTCCCAAACTTTGCAAAGGACCCCGTTAGAGAATAGCATTAACATTTGGCCCTCTGGCTAAGACCCTCCTCTTGCAGCATTTCTTAAATTCTTTGTACATTGTACAATACATACAACTAATAAATATGTTTCATTAATTTAAAAACAAAAACCAAGTTGCATTGGGAAAATACAATTAGTAGAATATAATCGGGGCTTTTTTTAAGGAACAACTGAAATAACTACCATGTGCTAATTGCTACGTATCAATAGGCTTGTTTACATTTGTGGCTCATAATGTTATAATAAGTCAAATTTACAGTTTTTCTGAACTCCCCGCAACAAATAAATGAGGCAACGCCTGCGAGCTAGTCCAGGCAGAATACTCCAGATGCACTGATTTCACACTCGACCTGCGTCATTATCCATTATCACCTGTCAAACACCACCTTAGCGGTCTATTTAAACTACAAGATTTCCAGTCTGTCCATCTGCTCTTTCATCGCCAGCTTTGACCTGCACCAGTACTGTACTCTTCATCAGCCCCAGCACCATCCCAGCATCCACCTGTAGGCTCTGACTGGTGGTTAAAGATGTCATCCCATTACTCCTCAAATTTCTGCATGTGAAATAGAACTGCGAGGAGTGATGAGGTCGGAGCCTTGAAGCCAAACACAAACTGTGTTCTGCTGCTGCGATAAATATTTGAAACGAATACAAACGTGAGTTGTCTGACTGAAATACATTTATTCAGGCTCCCTTTTAGAGTGCACAGACATCTGAAAACAGCTCATTTCCATTAACCCCCACTAAACTGGAACACTAACATCTACATTTTAATAATTTTAACAGGACACTGACAAACCAATACTGTAGAATACCTTACTAGTGAGACCAATATGTAGTTGAGTTTACTTTCTTCTCTTTATCAGTGTCTGACAGATTAAAGGATATCCCCAAGTCAAGAATATCTATTCAGTGTCAAATAGGAGAGCTGCCCATGGTACACCTCAGGGCATATCTTCAGACACTGTGTGAGGAATGAGATAAGTGGATGTGTAGGCAGAGTGATGGACAGGTAGGGAGAGAAAACATGATGCCATCATTTTCAAAGCATTGATTCAGCAGAGCAGGGCCGATGCAGATCAGTTAGAGTCCTGTGACTCATTATTAGTGTCATATCTGTTCCTGCACATTTACTGCCAGATAATAAGGAGGCATATTGTCCTTGATTGACCTTTCCTTCCTGACTCAATACAGACTAAATGTCACACAGGACAAATTCTATCAATGAACCATGGAACAATAAGCAAAACGTAATGAAACTGTTTTAACCATAAAAGAGAAATAATACAAGATGACTCTTTCTTAGAGCTTTTGGTAATTCCACTTTATAATGTTGGACGTAAAATGAACATGTCAATTCATTTGCACCTTACTTTTTTTCATAAAAAAGGGTAGCAACAACAATTTGCAGTTTTAGTCAAGTGCTTGACCAAGAGCAGTTATTTCCAGGAGTCTTTTGTTGACACCCTTAAGTAACAAGCAAAGACTCATTATACCCCTTCATACACTGTCCTTGAGCTGTATCATCTGTCCATGGAACACAACTCAACATCTGAATATATCTATCTACCTACATTTACAGACTTTGCTAAAATATTACTATATTATAATATTAGGATGCATTTCATTCTTCAAACTGTTGTTTAAAAGCCAGCATGCCCCAACCTGCATCAAAGATGACATGCACAGGGGTGCGAGGGCCTGTTCAGTGCTGCTTGGAGCCCTAGTTTTACTTGTATCACAGTGGGCTGCTGGAGCCCCAGAGCAGCAGCAGGTTGTCCTCTTATTTGAATAACAAATGTTTGATCCCAGGCTCCTGTACTCTGCATGTCTAAGTACTAAGACAGTGAACCTCAAACTGCTCCTGAAGGTAAAACCCAGAGAAAGAAAGCGTGGGTGGATGAGTAAGTGCAGTCAACTGGGCTCTATGTATAATTCTGATAGATTCAATCAAAATTAAGTATCTTTATGGAAGCATGTGAGTGAATTTTAAAAAACTAAAGCAAAATAATAGAATTGTATTGTCCCTCTGCTCTGCATTGTGATTCCTTCAAACACTACGATACTACTTGAAGCAGTTTCCTGTGGCACTTTCTCTGCCTTAGTGATGACACATTATTATATCTAAAGCAAGTTTTCATGAATGAGTCAAATGAAGTTCACAGTGGGAGTAGCTTTAAAGGTGAATGCATGAATAATCATGTGAAAATGCTTTCAAGGTCATTTTGCCTTCATGGTTATGCTACTGGTCAGCTCGCACTTCAGCTTCCTCCATCATGCTTTCATCATGCAGTAATGAAAGCTGTACACGTCCTCTTCAGTAGTAAGACAGCAGATACACAGATAGAGAGAAGGATAATCCCTGCAGGGCTGATGAGTCAGTATCCTGCATCATCCTACGCTTTTCATCGCTCTGTCTCCTGTCTGTCGCTCTGTCTGTCTCACTCTCTGCCCAGCTAACATCCCACAGGGAGGGTCAGAGTCGGACTGTCAGACAAACCAATTACCATGTGTTGAAAAGAGTGCAGCAAGGAACAGATGTACAGAGATGATATTATGAGAGTATATGAGAGTATATTATGTTGCCTGGTAACCAAATTCTAATCAAAATATATCTGAGACACGGACAGGGAAAGTCTCTGTTAGGATTGAATGCTCAACAACAATTCAGCAGGTGACAGAAGGTTTTTAATGTCTTTCATCTCATTGAGTTTTGATTTATCACCTGCAAACGTCACTGTTTAAGGCTCATTGCTCACATCAAAATCATCTCTAACAGCAGGCTCTAAAACTCACTTTACACTCCATGCCCATCATGATAGACTTTAGATTCAAACTGGTGAACATACTGCAGCAATTAGTAACAACCTTTAAATCCCATGTCTCCTTCTGTTGAGTTAAATAACTGAAATGTTTTCTTTCCTAGGTAGGCAAGAGATACTGCACCCAATGAATACTCATGTAGCTCTCTGTCTGAAGGATGTGTTAATAAGCAACTGCTTGTGAAAAGTTACACATATCAACTTTTTAAGGTAACAATAGATCACTTTATTGATGTATTTAACCACATGATGCCAGCCTAACTATGATGAACGCCGGATGGTAGACAGGCAGGGGGCTCGCCATGCAGAAGTGATGAACCACTGACAGATCCTGCATAGAGACACTATCCAGATGTTAGCCATCAGCTGGTGATCACTAATAACTTACAGGTTCACACACAGAACTACTGATCCTGGAGAACCCAAGCTACAAATACAATGCTGCTTGCATTCAAAGAGATAAAGCTGAACCCCCTGCTGGTACTCTATGAAAGTAAGTAATGAACCAATCTGCTTTAGTACTGGTTTCTGTAAAACCAAAAAGCTGAGTTTTAGACATACAATGGTTAAAAAGGAGCTTTAAAACACGTTTAATGGCAGACAAGATGTACATTCAAAAACATAAAGACTGTTGTAATGAAACAAAATCTATTCTGGTTTAGAAATATTGTAGCTTAACATTCAGCTAATAACCCCCTGTGCTGTGGTCTGGGTATAAAATGTCAGTCCCTCGGTGCTGACCTGCAGATCATGTCCTTCATTAAAAGCCGGAGGAATTTTAACAGTGAGACAAGGTTATTTGTAATATGGGGAAAACTGGAGCCACTATACCATTCTAGACATTCATTATATTATGGTTGTCATAGTAACATGTACTGTATATACACATGCCTTAACATCTCTCCTGTCCTGCTCTGCTCTTTTACAGCCACAGCACCTGAGCTGTCAGTGTGCAGAGAGAAGAAGGATTACTCCGACAAGTTCACATCCTCTTTTGCTTGTGTGTGTGTGTGTGTGTGTGTGTGTGTGTGTGTGTGTGTGTGTGTGTGTGTGTGTGTGTGTGTGTGTGTGTGTATGATGTATGGCTGGTAAACAAACGTACATGACAAAACTTGTCGCACACTAACACAAACAGACGTTCACATCTCAGTTTAAAATGGAGCCTTTAATGATTCAGCATTCCATCTGAGACAAACAAACATTTATGCACAATATGCAGCCTCGTCTTTTATGCATGAAATGCCTGGTACAGTTTTCTAAAATTGAGA